TGCGGGCCTCGCTTGCAAAGGGGGGGGGGAAGGCGGCGAAGGCCCGGCGACTGCAAGCCGCGCAGGCCTCGATTCGGAGCTGGGGGAGGAGGCGGGGTGTGTGTGGAGGAGATGGAGGAACCGGCGGGATGGCGGGGGAGAGCTTACCTGCTCCTGCTGGTTCCTCCGGCTGCTGAGTTTGGAGCCCCCCCCCCCGCGAGTTTCGCGGGTCTTCTTTCTTGTTTTATATAATTTACATCTTATCTTTAGAAAAGAGCAAGAGTCTGGTAGCACCTTAAAGACTAACAAAATTTGTGGCAGGGTAAGAGCTTTTGTGAGTCACTGCTCACTTCTTCAGATACAACTAGAATGATATTTCTTGTCTTGTATTTCCTACATTTCATCACTCTCTGGACCCTGATTTTGCAACTCCCCCCCCTTAGAATGTAAGAGCAAAAGAAGAGCCCTGATGGTTCAGTCCAGAAGTCCATCTAGTCCAGCATCCTGTCTCACACAGCGGTCCCTGAGGGCCAACAGAGCACAGAGGTCTAGGTCTTCCCCTGATGCTGCCTCCTAGCACAGGTGTTCAGAGATTTGCTGCTTCTGATGGCGGAGGGTCTCTCTACTTGCTCTGGCTAGTAGGTATTAATGGACCCACCTCCCATGAATTTCCTCGAACCCTCGAACAATCATAACCTCATACCTATCCATCTAGATCCACTGCGTACATCTGATGAAAAGAGTTCTAAATTACAACAGCAGCAGCACCAATAACAATAATAAATGTTTTATTCCACCTTTCCATCCTGTTCAGAGAATAGTCAACCCATGAAAGCTTATGCTGGAATAAACATTTGTCAGTCTTTAAGATGCTATCTTTGCTGAAATATACTAACAGGGCAACACCTCTAAAGGGCAACAATTTGCTCATCACCAACGTCATTTGCTTCAAAAACAAAACAAAAAAAGAATAATCTCTCATACTTGAATGGGGTGTTCTCAGGGTCAACCATCGCTTTTATTCGAGCGGCAGCTGCTCCGGCACCTGTTCCAAGCTCAGGGAAATAAGTATTAATGTAATTCGGTGGCGGACCTTCAAACTGGTCAATTCTTTCCTGCAGGATCTGTTCCCAGTTCTCCAAGTTTTTAATCACGGCAATTCCCAGTGGCGACTTGACTGGAAGATCTGGACAGCGACATGAAAACAAAGCAAACTCTGCTCATCCAAAACTGTGAATTCGTGCAACAGTCAAACAACCCCCTGCAGCGAAAAAAATAGTACCATGACAATCCTTACAATGGGTCTAAGAGCAACAGCTGACCCTAATAGGGGACACTAGCCAGAGTTAAGCTAGATTTTTGGTAACCCCAAAAGGAAACCCCAAGTCTGAATAAAAGTACAAAATGTTTAAAGACTTTCTTTTTTTTAACCTCCCCAACCTTGCCCCTCAGACAAGCCATATCTGTGCATAAGCAGACACCGTAGTGAGAAACAGATTTCCTTGCCACACAATATCTCATGAAAGTGCATCTTGGGTGCCATTTTGGATTGCCAAGGCAACCCAAAATGATGCATAGATCTGTGCCTCGTGTGGAGTACAAATGTGAGGAAGTGTTGAAGATAGCTGGGCAGGGGGAGGGAAATCAAAACAGACAGCAATGTAACAGTTGGAGGTAGAAGGGGAGACTGAGGTAGAAGGAGGGGAATAAAGGCTGAGGGAAAAGGGCTGAGGTGGAAGGAGAAGGAGGTGGTGGTGGAGACAGTGGGGAAACGGAGCAAGTGCCATCAGGGAGAGAGGGGGAGGGAGTGATTTCCCCTGCCTGTGAGTCCCCTGTGGGCCCCAAACTTGTGGAAAAACTGTATTGTGTTGAGCTCAGGGCAATGACGCCTCCAAGACGGACTGACTGATTAGCTGTAGGTGGCACAGGATGTTCAGCCGCTCAGGAAACTGACCAGTCTTCCGGATTAGTTGTGAGGGAAGGGAAAGTTTGGCTGGCATTGAAGCCTTGCAGAAAGCAGGCTGAGAAGTGGAAGGACATAAGGCAGGGGAGCCCAGAGGCAAAAAAGCTGAATGTAGGGGCACATAGTAGGGCAAAGGACTAAGAATAAGAATCTGAAGAAAAGGTGGGAAATGAGACTAAGGAAAAAGGGGACAGGAAATCAAGGAAGGGCTACCCAGAAGGGGCTCTCATAACAGTTAGGCTCAGGAGAGGCGGCACCGTTTCAGGGTAGTACACGTAAGTACAACAGCACAACTCACCAGATATTTCTAGACCAGTAATAGGGAAAAAGGTCTTAATATTGTTCAGTGCCAGTTTTACCATTGCCAAATGGATAAGGGCCCAGCTGCAGAAAGAGAAACAAGTGTTATATATTGCGACGAGCTTCATACATTTCTGTACAAAGGTTCCAGTTTAGCCCTGGTGCCCTACCCATATTTTTAGAGAAACATTTCTCAAGATTAATAGTAAACGGACAATGAGAGGTTGCAGGCATGTATGCACTAGAGGCTCGCTCGCCGGAACACTGCGTTCTAGGATTAGACGGTTCTGCAAACAATTTTAAGTAGAGTCGATTGCCGAATCCTATTACAGTTGTTTTCAGATTGTCATCTCTGGGTCCCCCTCCCCACGGATCACAAACAGTGCTGAAACATGATCTACAGGGCTTCGGATAAACTCCCTGACCAAGGTCCTTTCCGCATTTGCCTGCCACTCCGGATTTTCTCAGTGTTCGAGTCGAGACAATTTAAGTCCAGGACAAAACAGCATCCAAATAACCCGGGGCGACAGCAGGCTGAAATCGGGCTGACCACTGAAGGAGGACATGTAATGCAGAATGGGGGGAAAAAAACCGGAATATAAAGAACGTTGAATTCAATTTTAGTGCAGAATGGGGAAAAAAACCTGGATTCAAAAGAAGGCTGAAATAGAAGGCTCCAAGAATTGCTTGGAGAACAAAGCGATGAACATGGATTAAAAGGAGAGTGCAGAAAGGCTCCCTGTTTACACTCTGCTTCTCTCTCCCAGAGAAAAGGAATGTTGGGGGATTTTTTATTTCTAAGTACTGTGAGTACCAGCGCTTGGGTCCTGTGACAGTTCGCAGAAGACACCGGGGAAATGAGACATTTTCTTCCCTCCCCGGGTGGTGTGTGTCTTTCTTCCTTGGGTTTTATTTATTTATTTATTTATTTATACTTTCAATTTGTACCCCGGTCACCCCCGAAGGGCTCTGAGCAGCTTACACGGTGCATGGTGCAGAGACCTATGCAGAAACCCTAACTATGGCCACAGTACGTCTGGGGTGGGGGGAGCCCTACCAGATACCCTCCCGGCTCCGATCGTTCGTTTATCCAGCGAGTGGGCGACTTCTTCCAATTTTCTCCGGTGCGTCTTCCGCGGTCTCCGCTGTTCTTTCGGCTCTCTGGTGACTCCTCTTGGGGGTTGTTGGTTATGGGCCCTGGTGCGCAGCCGCGGTGGGCGTCACAACGTCCTTGCAGCTCCGGACGTCCTCCTGCAGGCCACGTCATCAGCTGCCGAGCCAACCGCCTCCTTGGGATGTCACTGCCTCTCTTGATCTCCTCCGTGCTGACCGCCGCCATGTCGCCGCCGCTTCTCGATTCCTCGCTCGGCTGGAGCCCGATTTCGAGGGAGGGGTACCCCCCTGTCCTCCTACGGACAGGTACCCATATACCTAATTGCCCCGAGGGGCTTTCGGACTGCTGGGTTGGCAGGAGCTGGGGCAAGGGTCGGGAGCTCACCCCGACCACGGTGGTATTCGAACCGCTGTTACAGCTGTTCGAGAGGACTATTTTTACAGGCATTTAACTGCCTGTGCCACCGCCCCCGTTCTTCTCAATTGATAGAGGGTCTGGTGGACGCACGACCGTGGGGTATTCGTGCAATCAGGATACACCTTAGCGCACTGGCTAAAGAAAAGTCCCTTAAGAGTCCTGTCAATGCACATCTCCGATATTTTTAGCTCAGCGACTGCTGCTACCTACCTGTACGAGTTGGGATCCTTGTGCTCCAGGATCTGAGTATCAGATAGGAAGGCATCCTCATCTTCGTCTTCGCTATGAATGCTTTCATCGGAATCGTAGATCACCCCGCTGTCAGATAAAGGAAGGAACGGCTGCAAATATAAGATTATAATAATGATAATGCTACACACCAGAGGGTTTCTAAGAACATCGCATACCTTTTCTTGGCGTTAGGTCCGGGTGGGCAGCCATGTTGGTCCAAAGTGGTAGAATAAGTTTTGAGTCCAGTGGCACCTTTAAGACCAACAAAAGTTCATTCAAGGTGTGAGCTTTCGTGTGCACGCACACGAAAGCTCACACCTTGAATGAACTTCTGTTGGTCTTAAAGGTGCCACTGGACTCAAAACTTGTTCTTGGAGTGATCCTTACAACAGTATCCCATAACCCAAGGCAGTGTTATTGAGGATAAGGGAGCAGAAGGGGAGAGAGGACAACTCTCGTGAGGCTCACCTAGAGAGTTCACGACCAGGGGCAAGACTGGAATAAGGGTTCGCCAATTCGCACCTTAGCTTTGGGTGTGACGCAATTTTCGTATCATGATCGAGTTTTTCTCCCCCACATACCTGTCAGCTATGCTGCCGTGAGTGTGGAGATGTTTTCTAATTGCTTTGCATTCCTTCCCATGCGCTTAATTGCTTCAGAGCTGCAACGCTTATCTTTGAAGTTGTACTGGTGGAGATTGTGGTGTCTATCGTCCGTGGGAGCGTCTCCGTTCCCAGCTTCGCAACCGTTAAGAGGGTCCAGCAGTCTCCCGCGAGCGGGAGCCCACCTAATTGGTTATTGCTGGGGGGGGGTTTGCATACGAATGCCCTATATCCTATTATGCGCACAGGTACCCCGCCATTCCTAACAGTGTTCCTGTTACCGCATCCATGGCTTTTCAATAAAAGTAAAACCTTCCTGAAAGCGTGAAATTCATTGTTTAGCTGTGGGTATGACGCAATTTTCGTATCATGATCGAGTTTTTCTCCCCCACATACCATGTCAATCTTAAAGTGCTTCTTAATTTTATAGGGTTGGATCCAAACCACTGCAAATGGGAGTTGATGGAAAAGGGTCTTTTGTCACCCCCCCAAAAAAAAAACCTTGCCTTGAGGGTCGGGGAATTCTTGGGAATGGTGTTGGGCACACAGGGGTAAGGGGGCTGGCCCAAACCTCCTTCCGCCAGTCTTTCACGGGTTCTCATTCTTTATGCAAAAATACTTAGGAGGGCAATTTCCAGCAATCCTTCTTTCCTGCGATTACTCCTCCCACGGCATTTCATCCCACCTCAAGGGTCAAATGTGGCTTTTTGAGGGGAGCCACCGAAGAAGTGGGGAGGGAGAAATTGGCAAAGAGCCTCATTCACGAACCCTCCTTCCCTTCACAGTTGCCTGGATCCAAGGTATTATTTATCCAGTCAGAAACAGACTCCCAAACCTAACAGAGACGACAATAAAAATTCGGTATGAAAAACCTCCTTGGGGAGGAGATTCTCAGCCAGGCAGGGTGGCGGAGAAGTTTTTGGTTGCTTCTGCCTGCTTACCTAGGGTTGAAATAATGGGATTTTTAGATTATGTAATATCAAAAGACGGCATTTTATCTTTTAGCCTCCAGGGCCTGTACTCTAGACTGGAAGACTGGAGGCAGCACGACCAGGGCCGGCATCAGCATACCCTGAGGGGTGTAGCTGCCGGGGCCCAGGGATGTTAGGAAGGCCCACGGATGCGGACCCGCTTCCTACTCACTTGCTAGTGCTCTCCCACTCACGTTCCCAGTTGTACACCCTTCCAGGGCTGTGGATGGAGCAGGTGAGAGCACGGCTGGTGGGAGGTCTCCCAAGCAGGCAGGGGAAGGACACACAGCCAGTGGGGAGACATGAGGATGGGCGGGGTGGGGACGAGCATGCGAGCAGGGACTGGGGACCCTCTGCCTGAAGCTTCGCAAAACCCAGAACTGGCACTGGGCATGACTCCCCCATTTTTACTACCCTCTTGCTTTGCCAGCGACCATCTTCAAGATTCTGGATTCAGCAGGAAACCTGCTTAGCACTGACTGGCCTTGGGAATACACGCTCCAGAAGTGCCCTCCCATGGTTGAGAAGCTTCAAGTCTGCACTAGCTACAAAAGTTGTTCTAGAAGCGCCAACGGAAGGACGAGAGCAAAGCCCAGGGATTGCTGATAGACAACCACCACCCGTGCATCCCTTCCCAGCAAGGATCGCTAGATGAGCCAATGGTACTGCTCGATGTAGCTCCATTTGGCTGAAATGTTGCCTTATTTTAAAGGCAGAAGAGAAGACAGAGAAGAGATTGGATTTATACCCCACCCTTCACTACCTAAAGAAGTCTCAGAGTGGCTTACAAACTCCTTTCCCTTCCCCTCCCCACAACAGACACCCTGTGAGGTCGGTGGGGCTGAGAGAGCTCTCTCAAGGACTGCTCGTGAGAGAACAGCTCTGAAGTAACTTATGACTGAGCCTAGGTCACAACAGCAGCTGCATGTGGAGGAGTGGGGAATGAAACCCAGTTCTCCCAGATTAGAGTCCGCGCTCTGAACCACTACAACAAACTGGCTCTCAGACTTTCCCATGATATGGAGAACAACCTACCTTGGCAACAAAATAGTCCAGCATGCTGAGCTCTGGAGGGATGAATTTTTCTTTGTAGGATGGCCTTTCTGCAGGCACGGGGGGAGGTACGGCACTGTCTTTCACCGGTCTCCCCGGCACCAGCATCCTCATGTTGAATCGACGGCGATGCTTATCCATCTCTTCGGAAGCTACTGGAGGTGCTGAACACAGAGCAGTTAAAGAGCCCTGAGGGTAGTTTACCAACTGGCACCTTCATTGTTATTTAGAGCGTTTTGCACAGATTTCAATCTTATCGAAAGTGCACCGATAATCAAAGTGCTTAGACTGGGAACACACACAAAAAAAGTGCTAAGCTATTTGCAGCTAATCCACCGCTAAAAAGAGGTACTGAAATCTTCAGATAGAGCCAACAGAAGTAGAAAAGCTATTTCGCACCCAACAAAAGTTAATCAGAGTAGCCACCGCGAGACTAATGTATATCAGATAAAGCTTTGAGTCTATAATGAGAATCTCTTTAACAGTGTAAACTTTGTAAGAAAGCTTATGTTGAAAATATTACTAGAGCATTGTGGCGATTTTTAAACATTAATATGTAAAATCACGTTTTCCCATTCGGGTCAGGTGAGGCCGTTCTGAAGATTACACCCACATTGTTCCAAACATGCTCACTCTCTGGAGTATAGATTTCTCCAGCAACACACACAGGGCTGGGTATTGAGCCAGCCAAAAATATTAAACCAAACGGATTTTGTCTAACACCAGCCAAATATTGTCAAGTATTGGTCAAGCATTTAAAAAAATAATAATTGGGAAGGGGACCCAGACATTTATTCCACCTTTTAAAAATTGTTGTTGTGAACCAGCAAAGACCCCACCCCCAAACTGTAATGGTGCACATTAATAATGTCAGATTAGCACGATTGTTAAAAGACTAAACAGTTTCCCTCCATACTTGGCTTTTGGCCTGGATCTCCGGGGTTATCCCTGAACGGTTATAAAATATTTTAAAATAAGCAAAACTAAAAGGAGCACAGCAAGCACTGAAGACTGGTCTCTAAATGCAGTTAGAGAGACAGCCATGTCACTAACACTCTCCACTTCAGGACAAAATTGGCCCCTGCGGTCTAAATTCCTTGGACTCAGTTAACCACATAATTTTGGATTGTTTCTTCGATGAGTTGATTCTGGAAAAAATACTCTTCAATGTATTACAATCAAAAAGACATCTGACTAATGAATGTAAGTGCTGTTTTCTCCTGAATGACTCCATTCCAGATGTTACTGAAACTGCGGCTAACTATTTAGCTGACGTACTAAAATGAAAGACAATTCTGTATGGTGAGACCTATTGATTTTCAGTTCTGTACTTGCGCCCTGGCTGTAAAGTGGTTCTGTTATGCCAATAAAGGTATGTAATTGATAGGCTATAAAGCAAGAGTGGTCTCTAAATGCAGTTAGAGAGACAGCCATGCCACTGGCCCTGTTCTGAAATAATAACAGACCCGAGGGATCCACATCCTTCCCCCAGCTCCCTTCCTGTATGGCAACCTAATTAAAGACGTGTGCTTTCATGGCAAACCACAGTTTGTTATGTTTGGACCACAAGCGGCCATTTTAAAAGAATATTTTAATTAGGGGATGTGCAGCAAAAACAAAAAAAATGTATTTTTCAGATCCAGGTATATTGGAGCTGAAAAACTCAGTATTCCTGGTTTCCCAGATTTCTTTTTCAGGTTTCCAATATTTTTGGCTCAATTATGCCCTATGAGGAATCTTTCCAGGGGGCTGGGAGGAATGTTTTGGAAAGTGCTGGTACTAAAATTCCAGGGGAGCTGCTGGTGCCTATCCTTTAAATAATCCCTAAATTTGAACTGGATGAAGTGCATCCAGCAGTCCTCCATTGTTTTCTATGGAGGAAAAAATAGACCCTATGGAAAATGTAAAACCTGAGAATCTCCCCCCAAGGCTATTGCTGTACCCAAGCTATGTAAAACCTGAGAATATGAACCTATGTAACACTTAAGAAAATGAAACTATGTAAAACCTGAGAATCTGAAACCATGTAAATCTCAACCTATGTAGAAAAACAGGTTGCTTACCTGCAACTGATTATCTTCGAGTGGTCATCTGTGCAGTCACACCTATGGTTTCCTATCTGCCTGGCGGGACAGAACTACAGACCAGTGGGCTTTGTGTGATTTCCTGGAGGAGTGGGAGGGGCGGCCAGGAAAACAGGCAATACTGGAAAGTCCAAAAATTCTATTGAATAGCCGTGAGTCAGAATGGACAAAATCCATTGGTCTGTAGTTATGTCCCGCCAGGCAGATAGGAAACCATAGGTGTGATGCACAGAGACCACGAAGAAGATCACAAGAATCTCAACATACAGTACAAGAATCTAGAAAAACTACCATCCCAAAACAAACCAAGAGCTAACTTTTAAAGAAAAATACTTGAAACGGACAGACTCTTACCTAAAGCAGGCTGGCAAGCAGAAACCAAGGCCTGGGAGACACGGGGGTGGGGGGGTGGAGGTAAAAAAACCCAGTTCTGGGAGCCTGCAAACTCTAGCTGCCGATATTCCTGTTAATCCCGAATATTTCTGGGATTTTTCAGGACCCATTTTTTGGTATCCAAAAAAAATTCCATATATATTTGGGAGACCCGATTATATTTTAAAAATTCCTATAAGGTATTTTTCAGATATATATTCAGCTCAGTTATGTCCGAGCACACATCCCTAATTTTTACACTGCCTCTTCGGAGTCCTTCTCGAATAGGCTTACAGTTAAAAGAACATCACAACATTAAGGACACACCATTAACAACAAGACAGCATAAAAATGATCATAAAACAGACAATTTAGATAGATGGTAAGATAAAAGCCCCAATTAAAAGCCTGGGTAAAAAGATATATTTTGGCCTGGTGCCTAAAAGAAAGCGAAGTTGGTGGCAGGTGAGCCTCAAGGGGGAGAGCATTCCAGAGGTTCTCTTTACTACAAGACTTCCTTTCCTGCAAGTCAGGATTCCAAACTCCAGTTGGGAATCCTGGCTTGTAGGGAGGACAGCAAACCATTTCTTTATGTCATTATTTAATTTATAGTCCACCTTTCTCACTGAGACTCAAGAGGGATTACAGAATTAGAAGGCAATGCGATAAAACAGCCTAATACATTATTTATAGTTCAGATATTATGTGGCTTGCCATAAAAGCCTTTAAATTGCCATGTGCAAGAGGAGGAACCATACAAACCGTGGGATACCCGGTTCATGTAGCAACAAATCATGCATGTTTGGGCTCCTTGAATCCTGAATTCTTTGGAGATGCCTGCAGTTACAGTGGGTGATCCACAGAGGAAAGTGTACTATGCTGCTGGGCCCAAGGACTATCTTGGCTTCATGGGATATTTGACAATATTTGGTTTTGGTGAACTATTGGGCCACCACCCCTTGATCAATTAAACTGGCTGATTACCATCAGTCCAAACAAGTCAGTTCTGTCTACTCTGCACACCTTTACAGACCTTCATTAGTGTCCTTTGTTTCACCAGAAACTGGATCAGCTACTAGATTGAGAGAAAGTTAGCTTCATCAGAAGGGAAGAAGGCACTTAGGAAATTAAGTATGAAGCTTGTTGTTCTTTTCAGTAATTTATGCTAGTTGTTTCACAAAGTTACACTGCCAGCCAACAGCAGCTTATGTAAGGCCTAAAATTCAAGATGACAACACACACACACACACACACACACACACACACACACACACACTATATCCCATGTTTTATGCTTGTCATTTTGAAGAATTCCGTTAGTTCTTAGAGGAATTCTGGATGATTTAACTTCCATCCCTGCTAGACTGCTTTGACAAAATTTGTTTTTAAGTTGCATTTATGTACAGCTGATGTAACTTAAACAAATATGGTCAGCTAATAATAAAGGGCACATCTAAACTGTCTCGCATACTCATCACTCTTAGAGCCATGCACCAAGACATGCGCTATGGTCGTCATTTGTAACCAGGGTTTGCAAAGCTTAGTAGGAAGTCCTGGTTAAAAAGGTAACACCGGTGAGCATCAGCACAGATTTAACACAGCACCATGGTTAAGACCAAGAAAGGAAAGGTCAGCAGAAGAAACACAACCATAGCTAAAGGTCTGTGCTGAGTCGTCCCCAGGCTTGCTTGATAATACAATCGTGATAAAATCTACCTACACGTTGGGCCAGATTCTGGAAAGCAGCACCCAAGACTCAGCATATCACAGCAAGGCTGCTTCACGATAGGGATTTTCTTCCCACATGGACTGCAGAGACCACACGATTCAAACGGGAGTGCCCACACTATGTAAGCCGCCTTGAGCCTCATAAGGAAGAAAGGTGGCTGATAGATGTTTTAAATTAGGGGTGTCGAACTCATTTGTTACAAGGGCCGGATCTGACATAAATGTGACTTTGTCGGGCCAAGCCATGTGTGCCATAAATGTAATTCCAGGTACCAGAGATATAAACTGTATAAAGAACAGCAGCTGATAAGCTCGGAGTTGGTGTGTCCTCACTGCAGGGCCCCATGGGCTGGGGAGGGGGGGCAAAGAAAACCCACATGGGTGGACTGGAGACCCAGTGGTGCACCACTGGGTAGATGCTCCCACACTGCTTGACTGCTGTGGGAGTCCACCATGCTGAGGCCACAATCGGAGTGGCTCCACCCACTCCCCCCCCAGCAGTCTCCTGTTCCTTCCCTTCCGCTAGTTGCTTGTGGGCTGCATAAGAGCCTGGGATGGGCCAGTTCTGGCCCCGGGGCCTTAATTTTGACACCCCTGTTTTAAATAAACAAACTAAATAAATCACATTGTTTGGGCTTCCAAGGCCTTCCCCTCAGATCAAAGGAAATGAATGGGAAGATCAGTGACCCGTTCCTTTGATCAAAACCTCAGCAAGATTTAAGAGCTTGCAGAGAATAACAAAATCACAATCTATCCACAGCCTGCCGAGGATCCAAAAATGATAATCTGAGGCCTGAATTGGAAGATGACGGCCAGCCAGAACTTAAGTCCCAACTACAGACAATGAAGGAGATAAAGAAGAGAAGAAAGCTGTAAAAGATCTAACTAAAACTGAAGTTGAATATTCAGTTTGTAGGGAAGGGAAAAACACGGCAGTCGACACACAAAGCGGCTCACCGTCTTTCGGGCCTGGGCCCACTGCGATTTCACTGCTATTTGACAAAGTTGTTCGTGGCAACAACTGCGAGTTTTTTAAGGATGTTACATTTTCTACGTTGGTAGGTAAACACTGGGGTTTATCTGAATCAAATCAGTTAAAGGACAGCATAACACTCTTGCAACCTGATTACACATAAACTCAGATTGCTTATACCACCCACTGACTAAAACTCTACAGCTAGAAACAGAAGGCCTATGGTGTGCAAAAAGGTCTAAGGTACATAAACTAAACATAGTCATATATATTTAACTGTTTAAATAATCTGCTCTTCTTTTGTTAGCCATGAGGGAGGATGAGAATCCCTACCCACCCCTCCATGGAAATCTCTTTCAGCTATAGATGGGTAGCTGTGTTGTCTGTAGCAGTAGAAAAAGAGCAAGAGTCCAGGAGGACCTTAAAGACTAACCAAATTTGTGGCAGGGTAGGAGCTTTTGTGAGTCACTGCTCACTTCTTCAAATGTATCTGAAGAAGTGAGCAGTGACTCACGAAAGTTCCTACCCCTGCCATGAATTTCATTCGTCTTTAAGGTGCTCCTGGACTCTTGTTCTTTTCTACTCTTTCAGCCTTGACTGATTTCACCAGACATTGTCCACAGATGTTAAACTCTCTCATCAGAAACATAAGGTCTAGAAACTTGGGGGGAAAGTTGATTTCTCAAGACAGTACTATACCTAATGCCAAATACCATGGTGTTGCAATGAGATTCCCCTTTCTTTGCCTGCAACACAGTTCCCTTGAGAAGCCATCAAAACTTAATTTGGAAGAAGAAGAAGAGATTGGATTTATACCCTGCCCTTCACTTGGAGTCTCAGAGCGGCTTACAAACTCCTTTCCCTTTCCCTCCCCACCACAGACACCCTGTGAGGTAGGTGGGGCTGAGAGAGCTCTTTCGAGGACTGCCCTTGAGAGAACAGCTCTGACAGAACTACGGCTTGCCCACGGTCATCCAGCAGCTGCAAGTGGAGGAGTGGGGAATCAACCCCGGTTCTCCCAGATTAGAGTCAGCGCACTTAAACACTACACCAAACTGGGTAGTTGCAAGAATTTGTTTAGAGACCATAACATATATTTAATTTTTAAAAAACCCTTATGTGCTTGGCGATAACCCCTTCCACGCTGATGGTCTATGTTTGCTGCATCAAGGGTTGCTATTTCAACTGATCTTCAGACAATAGACTTCCGTTCCCTTGGAGAAAATGGTTGCTTTGAAGGGTGGACTGTATAGCATTGTACCCAGCTGAGGCCCCCCCCCCTCCCCAAAACCTGCCCTCCTTAGGCTCCACCCCCCCCCCCAATCTCCAGGTATTTCCCAAGCCAGGGCTGGCAACTCTACCTGCAGCACATGCATAACGTGAGTTCAGTATCATTGAGACAATTTCTTTGTGTATTGAAATGGCTGTTTGTGAATCCGAAAGGCACGATCAGTGCAGCATCTTTAAACTGAGATGTTAGGCCTTTGGGCAGAATATAGATCCAACTAACAGCCAGATTCTAAGCATGCTTACTTTGGAATAATCCTGCTGAGTTTAATGGGGCTGACTACTACGTAAACACTTACAGGATGAAAATGTGATTCTGACTGCAAACTTACCAACAGTAAGAAGAGTGTTTTCGAACCCGCCTCATATATACTGCACTTAAAGGTAAAGGTAAAGGTTCCCTTGCTCAAAAGCCAATCGAATCCGACTCGAGGGTTGTGGTGCTCATCTCCATTTCAAAGCCGAAGAGCCAGCGCTGTCCGAAGACATTTCCGTGGTCATGTGGCCGGCATGACTAAGCACCAAGGCGCACGGAACGCTGTTGCCTTCCCACCGAAGTGGTACCTATTTATCTACTTGCAATTTCTTGCTTTCGAACTGCTAGGTTGGCAGGAGCTGGAACTAGAGACGGGAGCTCACTCCATCATGCGGCACCCGGGTCTCGAACTGCTGAACTACCGACCTTCCTCAGCCTGCAGTTCAGCGTCTTAACCACTTGAGCCACCGCAGCTCCTATACTGCACTTAGAGTGCTATTATATTGGCACGCTAAAGAAACCAAGGAAGCCCTGCTGAATTTAGGCTTCAAAGCCAACTCAGAGTCAACGTGCCTCAGGCCCAACAGATCCAGGTTATCTCGGGACAAAGAGCACTTTGAAGGTTAGCCAACTTAGTCCATTAGATTGACATTTCACAGTACTCTTTTCAAAAGCAGACACTGGTCACCGATAAACATAAAGAAGTCAGACGTGGGAAACACAAAGTAGTTACAAGATTCACATTATAAGCAGACTTCCTCGTATATAAAATGCCAGGATGATGTGCTTCTCCTTTTATTAATGTAACTTAAACAAATAGAACCCTAGAACCATCTAGTCCAACCCCCTGCACAATGCAGGAAATTCACAAATACCTCCTCCTCCACATGAGAGGGGAAAGAAAACCAAAAAAAGGAACGATTGCTTGCCATATGTTTTGCAGTGGGGTCACCTTAACAGCATGGCAAAAATGTTAACAGCACAGGATTCTTCTTCATGCTAACTAGGTTTTAAAAAGGTAAAGGTAAAGGTTCCCTTGCTCGAAAGCCAGTTGAGTCCGACTCTAGGGTTGCGGTGCTCATCTCCGTTTCAAAGCCGAAGAGCCAGCGCTGTCCAAAGACGTTTCCGTGGTCATGTGGCCGGCATGACTAAACAGCTAGGTTTTAGAGTAGGTCAATTTCCCCTAATAAGAATTTTACAAATTAGAATGCTGCATGAAAAGGCAATTGGGGGAAGCCATGATTCCTAATCGACATGTCTTCTAACTCCTTGTCATTATGGACTGAGGCTGCAGTCCTAAACATTACCCGTGTCTAATTCCCAAATAAACCCATATGGTCTTTCTTACGAGCAAATATGTTTAGAATCATGCTGATAAATACTGCCCGATTCCATGAAACAAACGTTTCTTAGAAGCTCTTCACATTTTCTCCAACACAAACTTAACGTATATGCAGTTAAGTTACAACTGACTTACGGTGGCTCCTCGTGGTTTTCAAGGCGAGAGACTAACAGAGGTGGTTTGCCCTTGCCTGCCTCTGCATAGCAACCCTGGCCTTCTTTCATGGTCTCCCATCCAAGTACTAACCAGGGCCAACCCTACTTAGCTTCCAAGTTCTGACAAACTCAGGCTATTCAGGCTACCACACATAACGTCTCCTTAAAGGTTCCCATCCGAACAAACAGAAGGACAGGTGAGATACATGCTGGTCGTTTGCTGTACCCTTCCCCAACAGTTACAGGCTGTTCATCTATACATTACCTGGGATATTTTCGGACTGCCTTCTCGGCTTCACAACAAGCTTCACCCCTCCTCCGAAAACAGCAGCCCACATGCGACCATTCAGGGGATGGGCTGCCAGCCGAAACATTTCGTTGCACGAATTAGTGGCCAGAGCGTGGGTCAGCAGACTCAAGTAGACCGCCACGACTGCTTCACACAGCAAGACATTTAACTTGGGTTGGTCCTCATCCTGGGCTGTATTTAGGAGACTGATAAGTGAGCTCACACCTGCAGAAACGGAGGACAGGGAATGGTAGGTGCAATTCACAAAAAAGGGAATCTCACAGCCAATGCTCCCGCGAAGTCTTGTGTGCAAAAATTCTACTTTGTGAGCTACTGGCATTAAAGCTGTGAGCGAGCGATTTGGCTACTGCATATATTAAAGTTTGCTCTGGAGCCGTCCTTCCTGAGCGAAGACAAAAATGTGTGAGCCAGAGGCTGAAAAACTGTGAGCTGGCTCACACGAACTCAGCTTAGAGGGAACATTGCTCACAACATCTTGGGTGCATGAAGCTGCCTTCTACTGAATCAGTCCTGCTGACGACAGCTCCCCAGAGGTCTTTCACAGCACCTATTACCTGATCCGTTTAACTGGAGATGCCGGGGATTGAGCCTGGGACCTTTTGCATGCCAAGCAGAGGCTCTATCACTGAGTTAACGATTCCTCCTTAAACGAAACTGCCTTAAAACTATGAGCCTTGAAGGGCTTTACAAACCACCAATCAGGGTCTTCTGGTTGTCCCTGGCCCCGGGGATGTCTGTCTTGCCCTGACTAGAACCAGGGTTTTTTTGGCCCTGGCCCCTACCTGGTGGAATGAGCTCCCATATGAGATCAGGGCCCTGCGGGACCTTTTACAGTTCTGCAGGGCCTGCAAGACGGAGCTCTTCCACCAGGCTTTTAGTTGAGGAGGCGGGCGTCTCCCCCCCTCATTGGGCCTCCCCTCCAGAAGGTCAGATCTATGTCGACCACCTAGGAACCCAATCTGAAAAACCTCATCTGTTAAGGCACTAATTAGCACATAGGAATTTAGTTGTATTTTTATTGTTGTATGTTAATTTTTAAAAAGTTTTTGTATGTGGTGATTGATGGAACTCGCCCTGAGCCTCCTATGTGAGGGGGGGGAGAAGAAGAAGAAGGAGGAGGAGGAGATTGGATTTATACCCCGCCCTTCACTACCTGAAGGAGTCTCTGGGTGCGTTCAGATGCAGCCTTTACAACGGATTCTGTGCCGGTTGCAATCGATGTACCTACCGGCATTCAGACGGGGAACATCTGTTTTCCCTCTCTATCCGTTGTAAAGAGCTTTAAACCGTTGTACTCTGCCACTAGGTAGGAAGTGGTGGTAAACAGAGTGCAACGGTTGTCATCGGTGCACCCAGGCGTCTGATCGCTCTCCTCCGTTACAGAGACACTTCCGTCGGAAGCCTGAGGCTTCCGGCTTTCCCCCGCCATTTTTTTTAAGAGGAAACGATATGCACTCAGGCGAAGCTTCGCCCCGAGCGTTTGTTTAAAAAAATAAATAAAAATGCCTTACTTTAACTTCCCGGAGGAGTCCGGGACTACAGCGAGGCCAGGTTGGGTTTTAAACTTTAAAGGTAAGTGCTTACCTTTAAAGTTTAAATGTAAGGGGGGAGGTTGAGCATGCGCAAAAATCGCCATTCTCCGAATGGCTGCCTGTGCGCATGCTCAAACTGTCCTTTAAAAAAAAAACACACACGCAGACGCCCGCAGCGTGTGAGCGGGCGTCCACCAGAGGGCTTCGCAAAATGGAGGTGAGTGTGATCGCGTTTCTGCCGGCATAAACTGCTCCGGTTCCAACCGGTGCAGTTTATGCCGGCAGAAAGGCCGCGTCTGAATGCACCCTCAGAGTGGTTTACAAACTCCATTCCCTTCCCCTCCCCACAGCAGACACCCTGTGAGGTAGGTGGGGCTGAGAGAGCTCCTGACAGAAACTGCTCTTTTTCAAGGTCAGCTCTGACAGAACTATGGCTTGCCCAAGGTCATCCAGCAGCTGCAAGTGGAGGCATAGGGAATCAAACCTGCTTCTTCCAGATTAGGGTCTGTGCTCTTAACCACTAAACCTAACTGGCTCCCAGATTAGAGTCAGTGCACTTAACCAACCACTACACCAAACTGGAGGGAGGGATACAAATCTAACAAAATACATAAATAAAATAAATACAAAAATAAACCTTGGTCTATCAAGGTCAGCTGTGTCCACTCTGATTGGCAGAGGCTCTCACAGCACCTATTACCTGATCCTTTTGAAATGGAGATGCCACGGATCAAGCCTGGGACCTTCTGCATCCCAAGCAGATGCTCTACCACTGAGCCACAGCCCCTAACAAAGCTGGCAGGCTTATTGTGGTAAAAGCTCTCATGGGCCAGAGAAGAATCGAGCACAGCTTCTCCCACATAATGGTAAACTAATCATGCTATGCTAAGCAGTTCCTAATAATACAGAACCCAGGAGAAATTCAGTAGAAAAGGGATTGTGGACATTGTGATGATGAGACCTTCAGCTGAAGCATGTCTGACTATGCTATACAGAAACAAACAAGTTACATGAATTATACAGCACACCAGTGGGGCAGAAAAACCAGTATTCCCTTAAGTCAGCAAGCTGTTTGATACATGGGAATCGGAATCTTACTGCATGCTGTCATTTATAACTTTTCCAGTGCAAATAGCAGCAGTAAATAACTAACAGAGGAACTTGGAAGATTATGCATGGGATATTACTAGCAAACATGAGTATTCTTACCAGGCCACTGAGCAGGCAAAGAATTTGGGGTTGCGTGTTCTTCAATGCTTTCTGTCCTCAATCTGCGACGGTCACTTAATAACAGTCCTTGATAAACCATTCCGGTAAACTGATTTGTCAATGTTTGGCTGCTAAAAAGAGAGTCACACATCCCGGCTTAATGTGAGATAGTTGGATTTTATGTCGAAAGAAAAATATGGCAAGTTATTTACAAGCCAAGAATCCAGCTGTTGGTAAAGCTTCCAGATCCTTGTTGTTAATTAAGCATTTTAGAATCCAGGTATGTGGCCGAAAAACAAACTCTAAATTCATTAAAGTGCCCAGATTCAGACATTCTAACTAACTGGAGCTGAATCAAAGACTTCCATAAACCAGGAAGTATTTGTCTCAGCCCTCAGGGGGTGGGGGAGAGAAGGGGAGACCGTGAGATGCAGGATTTCAGGACTGTTGACACAAATAAATTATGGTTGTGTATGAATGCAGCCATGTGTGACTCTCCCCCACGGAAGTCAACTCAATGTACAGCTGACGGGGATTGGGTCATGCCCTAAATTTATTTAGTCGAAACATTTTTATGCTGCCTTCCCACCCGCTCAGGGTCCTCAAGGCGACACATATACAAGCATTAAAACGTTTGAACAATTGAAAACATTTAAAATGATAAAATAACTCAATAGAAACACATAAACAACACCAGAACCGGGAGTGGGGGTTAATAACCATTACTGGGGGTATACCAAACAGAACAAAAATGTCTTTGCCCACTGGTGGAAGACACCGATAGAGACAGAGAAATCTCCCAGGGGGAGGAGTCCCAAAGGCTTTGTGCCACAACTGAGGCATTGTATTGTAAAGGAGAACAGAGCACATCTGAAACGCAAATGCTGGAAAGAGCAGTTATGGGCCTCACCTATAGCTGTGGCTGTCACACAATGCTTGGTAAATAGATGCGGAAAGTGAAGCCGCTAACGAGTAAAGCGTGTGCACCTAAAGGGGGAAAATAATGTTCTGTTTTATGCAACTACAGACAGTAAACTAGCCAGACAAAAATTCTCAGCTGGGAGATACAAGTCACTGAATAACAAAAGTTATCTCCCCCCCCTCTCCTTTTCTGCTCTGCTACAGTTTGAGATGAAAACATCCTTTAAGTTTGGCAAAACAACAAGCTGCGTGCTTAGAAACTGCTTGGAAGTCATTCAGGATATTTATGCCCACCAGAGACCACCGCAATGCAACCCCCAGTATTCGAACAGGGCTTTACTTCTCTGCCAGCGTCCTCACATCCTCTACCAGCACTTGCTTCCTCTTTGCCCTAAACAGATAACGATGAAATGGTGCGGAGCCTAGCGGCCACGTTGCACAAAAACTGGATTATTCTGTTTGCAATCCGCACTTGACCCTGCTTTCTATTAGGGGCTTACATGTGGATTGTGACGTCTTCATGATTAGTGCCTTTCAGCTCTATGCATTGGAGTTGAACTGTGCAAACCAGACTAATGCATATAGGGCAGAATGCCAGGACAGTCCAAACCACAAACAGTAAGGAAGCCCAAGGTGGATACGACTTCAGCCTGTCCACACAAAGATTATATACAGTTTGAACCTTGGCTGCCCACAGTTCATTCCACACTTACACGAGTAAAATCATAATCATGCTTTAGAAGAGAGAGATCCTTGCCCTGGTCTTATAACACTCAGGACAACGGAACCCCCGGGGCTTAACAGAGATATCAGTTTCTTATCTTATTACACACAATAATGTCAGTTCTCACACCTGTTTGCAAATTCTTTTATTATGCTGTATGCTAATCTGCTGTTATTCACAGGTCTTACCAATTGCTTTAATCCAATCTTAGCTATATTTATTGCATCTTTACTCTAATTAGCCCTTCATGGCAACACTCTCCCCACCATCTACCTGTATATAATGATTGGTGACTTCTGTTTCACTGTATCTGAAGAAGTGTGCCTGCACATGACAGCTCACACCCAGAATTAAACTTTGTTGGTCTTAAAGGTGCCCACTGGACTCAAACTTTGTTCTGCTGGTCTTACCTTGACATCTTCAACGTTGGGATGTGGAGGGGTTTTCATCTGCACGATCGTGTGAAGAATGTCATGGATGTGGTTGTTTAAGTACAGCACGGGGTTGGCTATCACTGTTTTGGTGGAAGCGATGCTTGCCGAGAGTAACGGCAGGGTCGTGGGCAATGGAAGCGGGGACTGAAGCTGCTTGACGGTCGTCTCCTGGTGAAATGAAATGAACACGATCTACTGAAATCCCTAGGCGCATTCACTTTTTGTTCACCAGTTTATCCCAGTTGCTCTTACGACCAGTATTCCCTCTAAGCTAAGTTAGTGTGAGCTAGCTCACAGTTTCCTAGCCTCCGGCTCAGACATTTTTGTCTTAGCTCAGGAAGGATGGCTCCGGAGCAAACTAATTTATGCAGCAGCCAAATCGCTTGCTCACAACTTTAATGACAGGAGCTCACCAAGTAGAATTTTTGCTCACAAGGCTCCAGTTTAGAGGGAGCATTGCTTACGACTGTCTAATTTAACAAGATTGAGCAAACTCAGCTCTGGATCTGATAGCAGGATCTTTAACTTTAAATTAAATGCCCTCCTCCATGGCCCTAGCTTTGTAAAAGACTTTGCCCACTTCAGCTCATTTGGGCCCCCCGATATACCACGAAGGAAGTTAATTAGCGGTCGATCAATATCCTCAGTAACAGCCTCTATCCATACACCAGATTCATCTAACAAATGGCCAGCTACCGTAAGAGTTAAATACTCGGAGCGTTGAAGGTGCATATTGTCCCCCTGACGTATAAAAGAATCTAGTGATTGCTTTCCCAATGCTGTCCGCAGCCCTTATGACCAAGGTCTGTCTTTGGGTGCCGTGTTCGGCTCCCAAGTCTCTGATGCTGCACGTGAACACCTGAATCCGTCTTATACCGAGTTGCATTATGGGTCCGCCCAAGTCAGTCCTCCCTGCTCTGATTGGCAACAGCTCTCTGGGGTCCCAAGGCAGAGGTCTTTCTTGTCATGTATCACCTAAACCTCTTCATCCGGGACCTTCAGCATGCAAAGCAGGTGCCACACCTCCTGCCCCAAACCTTACAGATACCCTTTCCTCAGCCAGTTATGCAGTTTTTCAGTACAAACAGGAAACGGAGTAGGGATCAGGGGTCGTTTCGTAGAAAAAGAGCTAGGGGAACTCATTAGCATAACTCATTAGCATATGCCACACCCCCTGACATCACTGGAAGTGTGTCATAAGGCCACACCCCCTGACATCACCGGACGTGTGTCATAAGGCCACACACCCCGCCCCCAACAGTCCCGGCCACCGCCGCCGGCCTTGCAGCTCCACTGCCAAGCCCCATGAGGGGCCCGGCGGTGGACCTGCAAGGCCGGTGGGAGTGCAAGGAAGCCCCGCGAAGGCCCTCCCTGGCCCCAGGCAGGCAGGGGTGGGGAGAGGCAGGGAGGAAGCAACTTGCCCTCCCTCTTCTCCTGCCCCTTCCTGGCTTAATGAGGGCCAGAAGCGGGGCGGCTGGAAGCAGGGGGCGGGGCTTCGTCATGTGCCCCGCCCCCCATACCTCACCCGGGGAAACTGCGATCCCCCGCGATATGACCTCTGGTAGGGATAATACGGAGTGAGGCTCCAAAGTACGCAAACAGTTACCAAACTGCACGCAAGGCCATCACTGAACTGGGATTCGGGACGGACACGAGGTATTCTCCCACCTACACCTTTACTCGGTGAGGAGGCAGGAAGCTTGTTTAGTAAACATATACTCAGGCCTTCCAGGGAAAAGGAGTTGTCAAGACACATGTCTCAATAAAGCTTTAGAAAGGGCTATCTAAAAACAGCCCTGACCTGGATGGCCCGGGCTAGCCCGACCCTGTCAGATCTTGGAAGCTAAGCTGAGTCGGCCCTGGTTAGTCTCTGGATGGGAGACCTCCAAGGGAGTCCCAGGTAGCCGCTCAGAGGCAGCCAATGGCAAACCACCTCTGAATGTCTCTCGCCTTGAAAGCTCCACGGGGGTCGCCGCCACAAGTCAGCTGTGACTCGACGGCAAAACAACAACAGCAAAAATCTAAAAACAATAAAAAGCGAACTGTAACCAGCAAAAAGAGTTACTAAAAGAAAGAGCAGTAATTGGCAGGAGGACATCTGAAAACGAGTAAAAACTCAGAACCCCTGAAGGCAGTTGATAAAATCAGTGATGAAGTGAGGAGTGAAGTTAATGGACAGAAGTGAAAAAACAGTAATACAGATCTGTATTAGGAAGGGGGTGGGGAAAAAAAAGTGTGACCCTTTCTGGATGGTCACTTGCAAGGTCATGCTGAGCCTCACGGGACAGAGAGCACCACAGTTTGCAGACCGTGATTGGTCTTATATTTTGATTCTGAGAATGCTTTCATGGCTCTGTAAGCTACTTTGAAGACATTCCACAAGTTTACATAAGGAAACAAGCGCACGTTTGAGCATCTCTAGCTATATTGTCTGGTTTGTTCTTATTTACACCAACAGTTTTTAATCCACTGATTCAGGGATGCTTGCTTTGATAGCCTAACAGTGCCATCCTAAGCAGAGTAGCACCCTTCTAAACCCACTTTAATGGACTTAGAGACTGTGTTATTGCAGGTACCCAACAGTACAGCCCTTTGTGTTTCTCGCATCCTTGCATGAGCAGTTCTCTAGGAATGTCTCTGCCCTCTGGGCTTTTTGGGTGGTCAGAAGAGATCCCCAGCCCTTTCATCAGAGCAAAAGATTGTAGGGTCCAGACTAGGGATGGGCACAAACAGAATTATGAACCAAAATTCGTCACGAACCAGGCCCGGTTCATGGTTTGCGAGCCTTGGTTCGTGTGATCGCGTCTCCCATGAACTGAACCGTTCTTCATGGAGGTTTGTGGGAGCGGTTTGTGGGCCAGACATGCTGGTGCTGATGAATCAATTGTCCAGGCAAGGTGGGGGGGGGATGGACTTCTGCAGCCCTGGAAACACCAATAGTGGCCCTTCAAAGCTTGATAGGCAGCTCTGGCGGCCAACAAGAGAGCTCCCATTCTGCTCTATGGGAGGAGAATGGATATATACCCTCCACCTCACACTCAGCTGCTTTTACTTTGCAGCAGGCAGTTAGACAGAGTGGGAATAGTTACTGTGAGACACAGAGGGAAGGAATTGGAAGTCTGTGTGAACAGTGTTGGTACTTCAGAGCTCTGAAGCACCTGTCCCTCTGTGTTATTGCGAGGCAGAGGGGTTCAGGCAGTGGGTTCCTCAGCTGAGGACCCACACAGTCCCCCTCAGTGGGAGTTTTGTGCACCTATCCCTGGCTGCGATTGTGTCTGGTGGTCTCAGGGCTCTGAGTTGAACCTGTCCCTCTGCTGCAACTTGCAGGGGGTCTGTTTGACACAGTCTTGATTCCTGAACCTGTGGCATGATTTCCCCAGAGAGCACTTTCCTGGGGGCACCTGCTTTGGGGGCTGCTACTCGCCCCCCTCCCCAGCCAATCCTCACCAAACTTGGAGGGCAGGTAAAGGGGCACCCCAGGGAGATCCTCTGCAAGTTGGATGTCTCTAGCTTGCAGAGGATCTGTTTGACACAATCCTAAGAGAGCACTTTCCTGGGGGCACCAGCCCCCCTAAGTCCACTCCTCACCAAACTTGGAGGACAGGGAGAGGAGGGTCAGCTGGAGACTTGCTGCGAGTTTGGCATCTCTAGCCCAGAAGGGAGCCATTCTACCATGCCATGAACCTCACAAACCAGTTCGTTAAATGGAAAGGTTCATGGAGGTTCGTAGTTCGTGAACCCCCACGAACTACGAACCCCCATGTTCTTGGTTTGTGCTCATCCCTAGTCCAGACTCAATGAAATCCGGATGTAATTCAGCAAAAGGTTATATAATTAAGGCAGGGATCCCCAACCTTTTGGATCCTGTGGGCACCTTTGGCATTCTGACACAGAGTGGGGTGGGGCGGGGCGGGGCAACCACAAAATGGCTGCCCTGGGAGGCACAGCTGACCACAAAATGGCCACTGTGGGAGGCAAAGCCCCCTCCCCAAGTGGAAGCCCAAATTCAGGGGACAATACGCTGGGAAAGAGGAGTGTGAGAGAGAATAAAGCAAACAGTGTGGTGGCATCTGCTACCTAAACTCCATTTTTTTAATCTGTCCAGCCAATCAGTTCTCCACTGGTCAGTCAGAAACCTTGCCAGGGAGAAGCCCACCTGACTCCACCCACTTTCTAAAACACTCAGAGGGTACCAGGAAAGCATAGGCAGGTGCCATGGTGCCCACATGCATCATGCTGGGGGGCCCTGGATTAAGTTATTGTCGCAACTTTTATCATTCAAGTGAAGTCAAGTGAAACGGCTAGTAAAGCTGTTACCAAAACAAAGAAAGCCTCAATAAAAAGGATGGCCTTACTTGCTGCGATTCTTGCAACAAAAACTTCAGCTCCATCCTCACGGATGCGAGGCCGCCCCCTTGCGCTCCATGGAGGCTGCAGTAGCTCAGGAAGACCCTCAGGAGCGCCTGATTCCTCTGCAGCCACCACTTCCGCCGTTCAGCGTGTTCCCGTTTGGCTTGCAGCCTGCGTCTTTCGATCTGATGCCGCTCGTACGAGCCGATCTCTGGCTTATCTGCCGCTTCTTCATGCTCGAGCAAGTCTCCATTGATCCGGGCCTCTGCATAGCCCTTGCCACGTGCTTCGTGGTTGGAGATCTCATGCAGAGCCGCAATTTCTTTTTCCAGCCAGTTGTAAAGCTGGAACCGGAGCTTCCCGCCGTCGACCTCGTAACCGGTGGCCAATGTTCTCAGTTCGGTCATGAGGATTTTGAGACACGCTCTGAACTTGAGCTGCTCGGCAATCACATCGACTTCTGTTTCCTCTGTGTCCCCATCCTGGCTTTGATTGGCATCTGGGCTTTTCTCATCTTGCTTTTGACCATCGGCTTCCAATTTTGAATCCTTCATTAGCAAGCCTTCCTCCTCTTCATCTTCTTGTGAACCACTTCTCTCTGTGTCCCAATCAAGTTTCAAAGGTTCATCCTCAAACGTTATCGCTGGCTGGCTCCAGTCGATAAGGTCCGCAGACTCCGCTGATGGCTCTGACCAGTGTGCAGCGCTCCCTTCCCCCAACGCCTTTGGCTCCAATTTCACACCATTCTGCATAACAGGACTTGGGCTGGCTACCTCTTTCTTGGCAGAAAGCACGGTCCTGTGGCTTATTTGGGGAAGTTTGGAAAGGACTTCAAGAGCTAAGACGGGACAACCCACTTTAAAATGAGCATTGGCAGTGGTGAAAAAAAGCTTCCTCTCAATGAGATTAATTTTATCCACAAAGCTTTTCTCTGACTGTAAACCTACAGTGGCCAAAGCCCCATCGGGTGAGCAAAAATTTCTCCGGATCAGCAAGGGGTGGGTACGAAGGTAGTTGTAGAAACTGAACACCACAGGATTGCATGATTTGATGATGACTAGGGAAAAAAATCAGAGAGACGTAAAAGTGTAGTCACAGAATGGATGCTTTTCAAAACTGGGGGCAAAACTGGGGACACTGAGGTCTAAGAAACAGTCTTATGTTTATGAAACAGTTTATGAAACAGTCTACCAGATCTTATCTCAACTGGGCTCAACCCTAATTTTCTAGCCCACTATTTGTAAAGCCACTGGAAATACCACCCATTTCAACATATGGGTCATACCGCTCCTGGAGTGACATTCACCATACCAGTACCCCCCCCCATAACAATTTTTATTAAGAGTAACTTTGAGTTAACAACGAGAACATATAGTATAACAAGAATAGATACACATGAAGGGGGTAATCTTAATGTACCCCTGAGATAGCAAGTGGTGTATAACAATTTAACAATATACATAGCATTGATATCACAAAATGTAGAATGATATCCAAACCAAGTACAACTGGCGAAAAGTGTAAAAATACTTAGTGATTACCAGGAACTACCTCTAAACAATACATATGAGATGTGAGAAGTGAGAGAAAAAAATCATTAGCTAAAAGGTGACGAGTAAGTGTTGAAAATAAACAAAGCATAAGTATAATGTGATTGATGAAAATTTTATGAGAACAGCATAAAGGCAGATGTAAAGAACAAAAAGGCACTCTATTGTACTTAAATCCATTTGATATAGTTCTTCTAATGGGGAGAGATAAATTCTTCTGACTCTAAAAAAGACAGTACTGGGAACCATGATTAGAAGTACCCATGGGTACTCTCATGCAAGGAGGGGGAAAAATCCAGAACTGCACTTAAAATTATTCAGGCAAAGAAATTCTGCATGCAATTGGTAACACAAAGAGAATAATTTAGACAGGAGTGCAGGGGTACCTCTACACATGCCTTCTATACACACTAGGAAGTTACGACCAGTTGGGGCTCTTGGGCTGATAACCCCTGGACATTCACAAGAATGTGTGTACTCCCCCTCCCCCCAACCCTTCACATTTTATGGTGTTCACTGGTTAAAAATACAGCTCAAAGTGTGTGCTCACTCATTCTTAATGTGTAAACTTTTACTAACAAGGCTGACTTTTATCACACAATTGCAAGATTTCTTTACCTGGATTTTCATCGTCTTCCTTTGGTGTCTGTTCTAGTAAAGTGTCGAGTGCTCGGGTGTACTCTTTCATGACCCAGTACGCAAGGCTTCTCAGGAAAGGATCGGGGTGCAACTTAGTACACCTGAACCCAGTCCCGTCTTTTTCACAGCCCAAAATCTTTTCATAAAGGATGGCTGTGTAGGTGGAGGAGATCTCAAATTCAGACTCATACAAACGAGCAATAACCATAGCTAACTGGATGTCTTCCATTTTCTCAAGGCATACCTATGAGACAAAGGATGACATGTTGTAGTGATAGAGTTCTAGCACTCACATTTGGAAATCCAGATTTAAAAAAAAAAACGAATCTACATTTGCATTTTAGATTTCTTCTGACAGCCAAGCCAGTAAACAAAAACAGATTGTTACACCTTCTCTGGAACTTGGCTAGCTTTCCTCTGTTATTACATTGATCCGCAGAATTATCGCCAAATGACAGCCGATGCATGAGATGAAATCTTACACAAGTATTTCCCCATTGGGTTGACTCATTTTGCATTACACTGAACAGAAAACAAAACCAGTGTCCTATCTGAAGAACTACAATGGCATCTAATAAAACAAAGAGATGAAAGACAAATGGATCAGTCCCAACAGTCAAAATATAGGCTAATGAGAACCTCTGGTATCCCAGCTAATTTTCTTTTACTGATGTTGCATGAAAGCAGTAATAATTACACTGGGCGAGCCTCACAATGCAGTTTGAATACCTCTATAGCATCTTTTAATGACCCTGCTAATAAGAAAAAGGCGGCGGACTGCTCAAAGCGCTGTTTCCCCAACAAGGCAAAAGCGTTTTTCAAAGCTGCTTTGCGCCATCGATCTTCGCTGAAATTATGGCTGAAAAACTGTGTCATCTTCTCATCGTGTTGAGACCTGTGGATGAAAACAAAAGTAACGGATGCTTAACTATGGGAAATGGGATGTGTGCTCTGGGAATGTAACAGGAATTGCTACAATTGCCATAAGGTTTCCCTTAAGTTCTAGCGGTCTTCACAGCCCAAGGCAATGGAAGGAACCTACCGAAACAGACCCCACACCACAGCTTTCTTCTTCATTGCAAGGTAAAAGAGTGCAGCGTCCAAGGCGTCGTTGTTCCTCTGGAATGCTGCTTTTGCAACCTGTAATGTTTAGAGAAGGTAACAAAAATTCCACCATCTCACCAAATTGACAGGAAGACATCTTTTCATGTTCCCCCCTCAAAAAAAAGCAGAGCGGGCACGTGAGATTTGGGACTTTATAACCTTAGACAAATCATCACAGAAAAAACCGGACTCCACAAGGATGCAAGAAAACTGATAAAAGTACATGCAGCAGGCATCCCCAACCTTTTTGAGACGGCGTGCACCACTGTAGCCCGGACACAGGGTGATGGGTGCAGCCACAAAGTGGCTGCCACAAAATGGCTTCTACAGGAAATGGAGCCAGCCATACAATGGCAGCTGCAGGTTACCTTCAGTCATACAGTGAAGATCCTTGTGCTGTGGTGGCAGCTGCTGCCAAAGCAACATTTTAAAAAATTGCACAAATGTCCAATGGCCAGTTAGAAGCTCTGTGGCACCTGGCTCCACTCACTTTCTGAAAACACTTCATTAGCACCAGGAAAGGTGTGGATGGACCCCATGGTACCTCCACGAGCACCACATTGGAGACCCTGGTATAGAGGAATGAGGAGTGAATGGGGAGTGAAAAGCCATCAATTGAGAAAAGCAAACAAGTAAAAAAGCATAGGTAGTAGTCCAAACAGCCCAGACTACCAAGGAAGATTAGAATTGCTGCACAGAGGAAGGAATAGCCAGGGGTCATTTCCTGCAGGAGCACACAGGAGCGGAGCTCCGGCGGTAAAGAGCCCAGGGGGCGGGCACATGCAACAAGCCCCACCCCCTTCTCCCAGCAGCCCTCAGTCAGAGCAAGAAGCAGCCAGGTAAGCTGCAGAGCTTACGCACCCCCCCGGTCCAAAACAGTCCAGTGGCACCTTTAAGACCAAGTTTTATTCAGGTACAAGCTCTCCCTCCCCGCGAGGACAGATCTGCACGTCCCCCCCCCCAATAGCTAGCAATCCAAAAAAGTCCGGTGGAGCCTGAGCGGTGGGTGTTGCCTTCTGACACACGTCCGGTGATGTCAGGGTGTGTGGCATATGCTAATGAGTTATGCTAATGAGCTCCCGCACCTCTTTTTCTACGAAATGACCTCTGGCAATAGCAAAAAACCTCTGCTCATCTCTTGCCTGGTAAACCCCATGAGGTGAAACTTCAAGGGGTCACCATGAGTTGGTTGCAACTCGACACTTTACCTTTACGGAACCACACAACAAATACCCTTTTATTTATACATTTCTTTTTGTGTAGGATGACTAACTGGGAAGGGAAGCAATACAGTAGGTTATTATTGACATTGTTCTATATAAGATGAAATTTTTAAAATGAGGTCAGAAAAGGAACCAACTAGGCTCTTTCGAATATATATATTTTTAAAAAGAACGGTTTCGATTGTTCCAGTAAGACACAGGGAGGGGAAAACAAACTTGACCCAAAAACTGGAAACAAGAACCACAAAGGTAAGAAAGAAGCCTGATGAAGGGCCAATATTAAAAACCTATTGTAAACTTATTATATAGAAAAATTTTATTTATTTATTTTATTTATTTATTTAAAGCATTTTACCCCGCCCTCCCCGCAAGCAGGCTCAGGGCGGCTTACAAGGGGCAACGCCCAGCATAAAACCAATAAAACAGTAAAATCACAATATAACAATAATAGTAATAACGATAAATAACAATAAAAGTGCTTCAACATTACTATTCACTATTCACAATAAGTGCTTGCATTGTCAAGATGGTCTCAGTTGTTATGTCTTCCAGCAGCCCCATTTGGTGCCACTGTCAAAAAAATACATGTATTTATTAGAAAGACAGTTAAAAACAAACAAGGGCCCAATGAAAGCCCTATTACAAAGTGCAAATGACCTAAACATGACCAAGGGGTGGAAACGCGTCAGGTCTCTTGTATTGCCCCTTGTGTTTAGGTCATTTGCACTTTGTAACAAGGCTTTCAATGGGCCCTTATTTGTTCTTTATTGTTCCTGTCCAGCCATTACTGGTAATGCTGCAAAAGCTGAACTGGGAGAATAACTCATTTGAGGTTTTGAAAGCAAATCTGGATTCTGGATGGACGTTTTTTGCCCTGTCAAATTAAAAAAAAGTCTGATCTAGCTCTACACTGGACACGATAGCTTGCATTCAAGGATGGTGCTTTAGATTTTACAAATCAAGCAGTCAACAAGACTTGCAGAGAAGATGCTTTCTGTCTATTAGGGTCAGCAAGCACTACAACACAATAAACTGATTCCTTCAAATCATAAGAAAATCCTAGTGTAAAAATACACCATCAACGTCGTCTCCAAATGTCTATCTGAATGTATTATCCTTCATCACTTTTTGTAAAGCACTTTATGAGCAAGAGAGCTTTTGTACTACTCTAATATCTCCTAAGATCCAATTTTGAAACATTGTTATGTAATCCGGAGACGACGTTGATGATGTATTTTTACACTAAGATTTTCTTATGATTTGAAGGAATCTGTTTATTTGTTGTGGTGCTTGCTGACCCTAATATACAGAAAGCATCTTCTCTGCCAGTCTTGTTGACTGCTTGATCTGTGGGTCAGACTCTCACAACTGTTTTCTTTACATTTGTTCTCCGATTAGGTCATGTTTGTCCACACTTGTCTTACTTTAGATTTTACACCAATCACCTGAACAGAACGAATCAATGTTGCACCGGGTGAATAATACTGCCTTGGATTCATTAGACCAAAAGTTATTGAGAATGATGAGCAGAATACAGAAGCTGTTGCACCAGACCAGCTGAGACACACTGGCGGTTCAGATCATAGTGCTCTATAGGGAACAGTGGTTCTTGGCCTTACACCACTCGGGTGTCGTGGGTAGAGTGCTGGACTGGAATATGGGAGTAAAGGTAAAGGTTCCCTTGCTCGAAAGCCAGTTGAATCTGACTCTAGGGTCGCGGTGCTCATCTCCGTTTCAAAGCCGAAGAGCCAGTGCTGTCCGAAGACGTTTCCGTGGTCATGTGGCCGGCATGACTAGACACCAAGGCGCACGGAACGCTGTTCCCTTCCCACCGAAGTGGTCCCTATTTATCTACTTGCAATTTCTTGCTTTCGAACTGCAAGGTTTGCAGGAGCTGGAACTAGAGATTGGAGCTCACTCCGTCATGCGGCACACTCGGGTCTCGAACTGCTGAACGACCGACCTTCCACAGCCTGCAGTTCAGCGTCTTAACCACTTGAGCCACCGCAGCTGGACTGGAATATGGGAGACTCAGGTTCAAATCCCCGTTCTGCAGCAGAAGCTCTCCGGGTGAACTTGGGCCAGTTACACACTCTCAGCCTCCCTGACCTGACATGCAATGGAGGAGAGGGGAACCAAGTAAGATATTTTGGAACCCCTTGGGGAGAAAGGTGGGATGTAAATGGAGTATATGTGAAACGGGGATGTTCCGCCAGGCCTATGGGTTGAGGCGGAGGAGCTCTAACTATATTGGCCTCCTCTACCTGGCCTTGGGCTATTTATTCAGCGCTATCGTTGCTGCTTTTCTGCCTCTTGCCCAGTATCTGGTTTTTATCTGTGGGCACACGTGCGGAAAGCTTTTTGGGAGCACTTGTCAACTTCTATCTTACTGCCATCTTGAAATTTGTATCAGCTAATGTTGTATAGGGTTTTAATATTGTGCAGATTAAATCCAGGGGTCATTTGCTGCGGGAGCGCACAGGAGCGGAGCTCCGGCAGTAAGGAGCCCAGGGGGCGGGCACATGCAACAAGACCCACCCCCTGCTCCCAGCAGCCCTCAGTCGGTCCACGAGGAGCAAGAAGCAGCCAAGAAAGTTGCAGAGCCCCGGCCTGCCTTCAGGTACAAGCTCTCCCTCCTCTGTGAGGGCAGATCTACGCGTCCCCCCCCCATAGCTAGCAATCCAAAACAGTCCAGTGGCACCTTTAAGACCAAGCTTTATTCAGGTACAAGCTCTCCCTCCTCTGCAAGGTCAGATCTGCACATTCCACCCCCCCCCCAATAGCTAGCAATCCAAAACAGTCCAGTGGAGCCTGAGCGGTGGGTGTTGCCTTCTGACACGCTTCCGGTGATGTCAGGGGGTGTGGCATGTGCAAATAAGTTATGTTAATAAGTTATTCTAATGAGCTCCTGCACCTCTTTTTCTACAAAATGACCCCTGTTTAAATCTATTGCACATACCTACTGTTCTAACCCGCCCTGAGTCCTGCAGTGCAGGGAAGGGCAGGCTTAGACATTTAGTTAAGTAAAGGTAAAGGTTCCCTTGCTCGAAAGCCAGTCGAGTCCGACTCTAGGGTTGCGGTGCTCATCTCCGTTTCAAAGCTGAAGAGCCAGCGCTGTCCGAAGACGTTTCCGTGGTTATGTGGCCGGCATGACTAAACACCAAGGCGCACAGAACGCTGTTACCTTCCCACCGAAGTGGTACCTATTTATCTACTTGCAATTTCTTGCTTTCGAACTGCTAGGTTGGCAGGAGCTGGAACTAGAGACGGACGCTCACTCCGTCACGCGGCCCTGGGGTCTCGAACTGCTGACCTCCTGACCTTCCACAGCCTGCAGTTCAGCACTTGAGCCACCGCAGCTCCAGACATTTAGTTAAAGAAATGTAATTCAATCAATCAATCAATCACTTCCCATGAAGGCAGGCAGAGTCGGGGCCCGTTACCTTTTCCATGCACCTTCGAAGGGTGTTGATATTTCTGACCCACCAGCCTATGCCCATGGCTCGAAGCTCGGACCACTGAGGGTCTCCTCGTTGGATGGCAGGGATCATGTTGATCAGCTCTTCCTCAGCCTCCGAGTGGAAGGCCCAGGCAAAGTGGCACGTGGAGACACCTGGGCAACGACACAAGAAAACCCCTTTGCGTAAAACGACTAAAAAACAGGGACAGTTCATACCAGAAATAATACTGAGGTGGGAGAAAGCTAATCAGCTCCCTGGGCCAGGTGGGCAACGTAGTGTAGGTTTAGCCCACTCACCCGACCTTGTGCCTGGGCTAGCAGGGGAAACGTAGGGGACGGAAATGACATCACGTCATGCAGTGATGACACTTCCGGGTTTTCACCCAGAAGTGATGTCAATGGGTGGTGCGACATCATTTCCGCCCCTTGCCTGGCTGCCGAAGCTCCCGGGGGTACAGAGCAACAGCCTGGCCACCCTAAGCTGGGAAACAGGATGCATTTATTTTAAACAAGGTTTCTTGCTGATCTCTGGCTTGTCAGCCGCTAAGTTCATAGTATGCTGAGAGTCACTTTGGATCTTTGAATTAACACGTATACCAAGCTTGACAATGCAAAACATAAAGCACAGTACAGCTTTCAGTTCCACTGCTGCAAAAGGCTAATGCATCCCTTTCCCCTCCTTTCTTCCCAGCTCCCACACAGGGGCAGTCTGCATGATTCTTGGAGCTCTGGGCAAAAGTCGAGGCTGGATCCTCAGAATCATTGCCCCATGCCGGGGTCAAGCAAGGGCTGGCCCTCGCCCCCTGCAAGGCAGGTGAGAGCCACAGCCACTGCATCGCCAGCCGCTTGAACCCGGGATGGGGTGAGAGTAAGGGGAGGCAGAGCCCTGCGCTGCTTCTTCCCCCTTTCCAGTAGGGGTGGGACTGTGGGTGGACGGGGTCTCCTGCACGGTCCCTGGAGGAGCTTCCCAGATTGCCACTGGCAAAAACTGCCGCTGCTTGCAGAGTTGCTCTTTGCATGAGCCACATCACTAGATTGGAAGTTAGTGCCATCCATAACAAAAACGTATTGCTGCAACGATCATTCATTCACATGCATTACACTATATATTTGAAAAGCTACTTGCAGATTTCTAGACCACCTTTTCCAGAAACCAGTGCACACTCAATGCAGGTTCTGCAGATCTGGAAAAAATGTTACTATTTATCCACACAGTCAAAACCAGATTTTATAACCCCCTAACAAAAGCCAAAACGGCATCCTATCAGAAATAAAAACAAGCTCTTTCAAATAGCCTCACAAGGCTGATGAAAGTCATAGAGAGACTGTCTGTGCCACTAAATGCATCCCCGCTGAGAGCATCACTGAAAAGGTGGACTGTGGACTCTGCTGTCTTAACCGTGGTCAGGGACCACTAACAGCAACTGACCCGAAGACCAGAAAGGGTGCACGGGTACATCCGGAAGACCTTCCCTTTTATTCCAAGAAGGTGCTGCTAAGTGTTATCTGGCAAATGTTGGGAGAGGTAAAGTAGAGGACTCCGCTTTATTTGATGACGCAGCACCCTGTGTTTGACTGAAGCAAAAACAAGTGAGAACTCCAGAGATACCATGATTGCTATCCTCTTTAATGTACTCCTGCTACCTCTCACCACAAACCGTCCATGTAACGTAACACTACAAAATCACACTCCACAGGTCTACACAACTGGAGAAGTGCCCGTTAAGCTACCAGATCCCCACAGTCCGGTGTGAGAGCCAGTTTGGCATAGTGGTTAAGAGTGGCAGACTCTAATCTGGAGAACTGGGTTTGATTCCCTACTCCTCCATGTGCAGCTGCTGGTGTGACCTTGGGTCAGTCACAGTTCTCGCAGAGCTGTTTTCTTAAGGGCAGTTTTCTAAGAGCTCTCTCAGCCTCACCTACCTCACAGGGTGTCTGTTGTGAGGAGAGGAAGGGAAGGAGATTTTGAGCCACTCTGAGACTCTGTGTGAAGGGTGGGGTATAAATCCAAACCTCTTCCTTCTTCTTATAGTGGGAAGACAATTTACGTCCTCTAGACCTACCTGAAAGTATTTCTGTATCTCCCCACCCACTGCACAACTATCTAAAAATCTTTAATCAAACTATGCATTACCTTGATGGAGCAGCTGAACACGGTACAGCGGTGGGAGCGATGTCAGAAGACACGTATGTAAACGCATCGCTAACAAATACCGCAAGCCACACTCATCTAGCGTGTCTCTCCCTGTAAAACAAACATTTTTGTTGTATGTGCATTCACAAAATATCAGAACATGATATATACAGATCAGCAGACACAGGTGTGCAGAAAGACACACGCAGGGAAACTAACAAGATGTGTCGCTTTGGCTGGTCTCAATAAAAGCTATGACGTCGCTTTCCTCGCTAAATTTTTCCTTTGGATGAACTCAGCGCCTCTGAAACCCTGCCTGACAAAATCTGTCATTGCCACAAGGAAACTTTTATGGTAGAAATCATCTGCCCGGATGAAGATCTCAGATCATTAAAAAGAAAAGAACATTGAACAGGAAGGGATAATCCACCAAGCTTGCATTTGTACATAATTAGTCCAGATTCAATTCTGCCTTCATTTGTTTGAGCAAATGGAGTATTAACAAGGAATTAGACCCAGCCATTTACCTGAGTAATGCTTCTCCCTGTTTTCGTCAAGTTCAGTGCTCGTCGTGGCCACGGTGTCTGCCAAAGCGACCAAGAACATCTGTTCCAGTCGGGTGAGTCCTGGCAGACTGGAGTGCATTAGATGGCTTGAAAGGACACTGGCGTGTTCTCGGCCAAAGTAAGTTGGCCCATACTGAGACAGGTTAATTACTTTGGATCTATGCTCTCTCCTTTCTGGCTCAAAGTCAATGAAGTCATCAGTCGTGACTTGCTGAACCTGGAAAAGGTCTGAGTACTGGTCCTCTGTTTTCCTTTTCGCGTGGTCTTCTGAGACTTGCGGCCCTTTGGTGACTTCCTCGGTTTTGTACGTGGAATCCTGGTCTGCCGAAAGGAGCGCGTATAAGGGCAGTGGCGGAATGGAATCGATCTCTGTGTAGTCCCGTGTACCGTCTTTCCCGGTGGTGATGGCATCTTTAGCAGTGCTGCCGCTGACACTGATGGTACGGGAAAGATGCCGTTTGGAACCCCCTTCTCCGGCCTCTGGATCTTTAACAATTGCAACTTCCCCGGCGATACATTTCACTAAATGCGAAAGAATGGCTTTTGCTCGGCGAACTTTGCCCAGATCCATCAGTTCTAGCAGTTGGGTTGGGTGATACTGGGGGAGAGTGGGAGAAAGGACGTGAGCGGCTTCAAAAAGGCCACCGTCTTGAATCACAGCGGGGGTACCAAAGACGTCATCCATAATTCCAGCCCCGTCGATTATACTGGGCTTTTTTGCAAGCAGACTTGTTTTCATTGGATCTGGCGTGGGCGAATCGTCGGCCAAAAAGGCATTGTTTCCCCCATCTCCTGATTTCACGGCATGCTTCCACTGTGCATAGACATGCATTTCACAGTCCATCCCAACTACTAATATTCCATCTCTTACCCAAGACAGAGAGACGGGCAGGGAAGGGGTACCATCCACAGAGGAGACCAGGTCAATCGATCTCAGCAGTACCCATTTGGACTTGATACCTTGTTTTATGCTACCACCTAGTGGTAAAGTAATGACAGCTACACCATCCTTGCTGCTGGTTTGTTCTGTCACGATTCCTGAGAGACGCCCGTACATGAAAATGTTGGCGCCCACTCCGACTGTAAGGATGTGTGAGCCATCTTCCTTCGAAACCCAGTCCAAGTGGACCAGATGCTTGATATTCGGCAAGAGGTACCTGTCCTTGTTCAAAAACACGTCCGATTTACTGTACACAAATAAATTACTATCCACGCTAACTCTCGAGTCCAGGACGCTCCCCACTTTCACCAAATCATCCAGGTGAACTGTCTGCTCCAACACCCACTCGGATCCTCCAGTCGACTCGCATTCAAAGATACAAACATGCATAGAAAACTCTTTGGAAAGAAACCCGTTGTGCTGGATGGGCTGCTTGTACGCCACGGCCAAGCGCCCCGTGTAGGAACAGCTGACGGCAACCGGCCTTCCCACGACCGACACCATGCTGCTGTCTTCGTCTCTTTCGTCATTCATTAATGGCCACTTCTTCCAGTGATAGGTCTCCTTCGTGCCGTTTTTGCTGCTCACCACTGTCTCTATGGAACACTTCCAGAACCGCACTTTATTATCAGAACAGGAAGTCACCAGCAAATAAGGGGCGAGACAGACGGGGTAGATGGATGAAGAGCTCAGGTGCCCTAAGTTAATCAAACAACAGTTCAGGATTAGTGGCGGGAAACAGGAACATTGAAACAAATGCAGCCCTGGAAGCAAGGAGAAGGGCATTTTAAAAAAAGTAATGGTGGTGGTGGTGGTGAGAAGTGCTGTAAAGTTGCAGTCAACTTAGGGCAACCCTTCATAGTTGGTGGACTTGCAGAAAAATCCAGATTTTTTGGAAATTAGTATTAACACATATAAACACCACAACTGGCTACACACTACCAGAGAGTCCCCAACTAGTCCTACTAAACCTTTGGCAGGAGTTAAAACATTCCCAAGATACGATGAGAGCTCATTTTGAGATTAATACTGGCTGCAAAGAACGTTATAGCCACAAATTGGAAGATGCTAAACTCCCCTTCAACAGAAGCCTGCTATTCTAAAATCTGGGGTTATGCCATTATGGACAAAATAACAGAAGACCTTAGGAGATCAGAAAGCCCTTTGGCTACTTCAAATTACCTAGAGAAATGGTACCCTTTTTTGGAAAAATGTTGTTTTGAGCGAGAAAACCTGAATTCTTTTGAAAATAACAGAAATAGTAAATTTATAGCCCTGTTGTAATAAAAGAGATAATGTTACAGAGAACTTACACATTGATAAAACTCAGTGTTCTGTAGTAAAAAGTTGGTTGTTTACTTTTGTTCTACTATGATTGCATTATGGTTGTATTTGTTGTAATGATTAATAAAAAAAACTTTTAAAAAAAACCCCTTAGGGTGACCCTGTAGAGTTTCCAAGGCAAGAGACCTTCAGAGGTGGCTTGCCACTGCCCGACTCTGTGTAGCGACTCTGAGCTTCCTTGGTGGTCTCCCCTCCAAGCACTAACCAGGACCGACCCAGCTTAGTTTCCGAGATCGGATGAGATTGGGCCAGCCTGGGCCATCCAGGTCAGAGCATCAAAGTAATGGGGCTACACTATAAAGAAATGGTTCAGGAAGGCACTTGTATAACAGGAACAGGACTGTGGACAATACCACTGTGTATAGTCTGTATTACGTGTTTTCTGTATGTATCATCCTGCTTTCACTACAGTGGGGAATTTCACATTACCCAGTTTCACCCGGTTTCAAGCTGGTAATGATCCGTTTTGAAGTGAACCGATAAAGGGCTGCCATTTCACACAGGGCTTTCCCATACCGGAAATGAGCCGGATCAGAAGCGGTTTGCCATTTCAGACTGCACCGCTTTTTCCCTGCCATTTTTCGCCCATGCGGGCGATCTCCGGCTTTTTTTTTCTCCTTGGAATGTTCGCTTTATAGCGCTATAGCACTATAACAAAAATAAAGCTGCATTCCAATGCGGTTGATATAATGCCATTCCGTTATAGCGCTATAGCACTATAATGCTATAAAGCGAACATTCCAAGGAGAAAAAAAAAGCCGGAGATAGCCCGCGTGGGCGAAAAACGGTGGGAAAAAGCGCATCAGGACCGGGAGAGGGAAGTGAAGACTACTAGGAAGCGGTTGACAGGTAAAACGCTTCAGTCCCGTTTCCTAAACGGGACAGAAGCATTTGTGTATGAAATGGCAAATATATTCCGGAAGGGAACCAGTTCTCAAACGGGTTCTGTCTGAAATGACAGACCAGAAACCGTTTGGGAACCGTTCCTCTTCCAGAATATATTGTCTGTCTGAAATTCCCCATTGTCTTCTAAATACGTAATACCATTTCCTGCACTATTTATTTAAAACATTTATATGCCACCTTTCCACCCAAACAGAGTCCCTAAGGACTGACATCTCGTTGTATTGACTGCATCGATTTACACTGTGTGATCTGCCTTGAGTCTCAGTGAGAAAGGTGGACTACAAATAACGTTAAGTAAGTTCAGGGGGAAAAGTGTACTTCCTTTTTGTAGCCCGCCCGCCCACACACTCGGCATTGGTAATCTGCAGGACTTGTGGTGCTCTTCTAAGCAGAGGGGCCACCCTTCTAAGTCCACTGAACTGTTATTGTTTGCAATTGTACGCAGAGAGACTCCTGTCCAAAATCACTGAGATCAATGGGTTAGGCATCAGTAACTCTGGTTACGAGACCTAAGCAAGACTCACCCACAATAACAGACTACGTAACAGCCACAGGGACTCTGGTACCAAGGCCTGCAGCAAACCAAGGTGCCAGCTTTGCTCTCATATAGATCCTAGCAACACTCTGCATATCACACCTAATCCAATCACACCTTCTATTGTCATTTGCCTGCTAATGTCATTTGGCATCTGAAATCACTCCACTTTTCAATATATAGGACAGATGGACTCACATTCTAGCTGTATCTGAAGGAGTGAGCTGTGACTCGTGAAAGCTTATATCCTACCACAAATTTTGTTAGTCTTTCAGGTGCTCCTGGACACTTTTCTACTGCTAAGCAAGGCTGTTAACGATAGGTCATTTTGGAGGGCATTAGCTCTTAGGGTCGCCATAAGTCAGAAGCGACTGGAGGGCACTTAACATATGCACAACGCAGAACTCCGAACAGGATTGCACTGCTAACTCGCTTCCAATTTACAGTGTTTTCCCACCCTGAAAACCATTCCTTGTCGGCAACAAACCAGCTGTTTAGTTAGAAGCCACACAAAATCAGTAGAGGTATGTGACTCCTTGGTAGCACCACGTAAACAAGAATTCCAGTCCAGGAATTAACTATTAACTTTCACCAAACCAATCGTGAATACACAAGCGTGAGAATCATGTCAGAGCAACTGCCGACAGGGTTAGTGTGGTGCGGTTAGAAGACACGAGATGCAAGAAGAGTCAAGCAGATAGAAAAATCTGTGCCTGGTTGGTGCACGGATTGGGAACCTTTGTGAAAATACCGAGCACGGATTAACAAACTGTCAAAGACATGAGTTAAGTAACATACAGCCCATTTGTTGTGCTGCTGTACCTGCAGAAGGAGTCGCTCTTATAACTTCTACGCCAGCAGGAAGATCCATTGGGTGACTGTACACGAGGCAAGAGCTCAGAATAAGTTTACTGGCCGTCTGAAGATTCGCAACGGATGAGGAACGTGGCATGGGGGTGGCACCTGGGGACGTGTCCGGGGAGGAGTCCACAGTCTTTTGGCCAGGGACAGTCAGCTGGTTTTCAGACGAACTACCTTCAGTAGATTTTGCTTTTAAAGAAGCATGATACATAGTCAGCAGCATCATAAATAATCATGGCAGATTAAAAAAAAATACACAGGCCAAAAACCCTTTAAGATAACAAAACACAGGCTGGGGGGGGGGGATCTCCTAAACTCTTAGAATCGAGCAAATCTCTTTTGCTGGTATATTTTACTCAATGGACATTAAGGCTAGGGTTGCCGGGTCCCCTCATCATAAGAACATAAGAGACGCCAATGTTGGATCAGGCCAAAGGCCCATCTAGTCCAACACTCTGTATCACACAGTGGCCAGAAACACCAGGTGCCCTCAGGAGGTCCACCAGTGGGGCCAGGACATTAGAAGCCCTCCCACTGTTGCCCCCCCCAAGCATTATCGTGGTGGGGGGATTTGGGGGGCATTCCAGGGGGGTGGGCGGGACATGGCACGCGACATCTCTGACGCAACGATGTCACCCGGAAGTGGCTTCATCGCATCAGTGATGTTGCGCGTGGTGCTCTGGTTTCGGGACAAAACTCTATGGGCTTTTTGCCTTCAAAACCATAGAGTTTGTGACCCCAAGATTTGAAGATTTGTTTGGAGAGCGCACTAAAGGACACTATTAACAAATACTAAAAATTTTGTTTTTTACAGGTTAAGATGAAAGACGATCAATCAAACACAGAAGAAGCTGAAGAACCTATTGTTACTAATAAAAGATTAATTCACTAACTAAGATACCACTCACCACTTTTCTTAATCCCGCTATATACCCTCCCTTTTTTCTGAAAAATTTAAAGCAATAAAATTCTCTCCTCTTTAGGAGAGTTAACAACAACAAAAAAAAACAAAAAAAACCCCATAGAGTTTGCCCAAAAACCAGAGTGACACCACGCAATGTCCCTGTTTTTTTTTTTGGGGGGGTTTCCCCCCGATCTGACCAGCGTAGTGGATCAAAACCCTCACAGTGAGGGAACCCCCGCTGGGACCTGGGGGTATGTAACCCTCATTAAGGCTAGGTTCAGATGTAACACCAAACCACACTTTAATGCGACACGGATGAGCCCAGAAGGATCTAAAGCAGGGAGCCTCAGTGTGGTGCCTGTGGGTGCTATGGCAACCACCAATACCTTTTCTGGCACCCACCAAGTGTTTCTAGAAAGTTGGCAGGGTCAGGTGCAGCTTTTGCCCGGCAGAGCTTCTGATGGGCCACTGGAGATGTGTCAGGCTGTGCAGATTTTTAAAAATGTCGCTTTGGCAGCAGCTGCCACCACACCACAGAGATCTTCACTGTGTGACTGAGGGCAAACTGCAGCAGCCCCTGTATGGCTGGCTCCACTTCCCGCAGAAGCCATTTTGTGGCAGCCATTTTGTGGCTGCACCCACCACCTTGCGTCTGAATTACAATGTGGCCCGCAGGCTCCAAAAGGTGGGGGATCCCTGATCTAAAGGCTCGCTTAGGCGATCCACTTTCCCGTATGCACACTGAGCTACTTGCTCACCTCTGAGGCAAACTCTGGCTCGTCTCTCTCGACATCCAAACCAGCAAACCGTGGTTTCAAGGACAGAACCACGTTTCTGGAACAAGCGTGGCAAATTTAGGGGAATCCCAGGGGAGCAGAGGATATGTCCCTTTGGGTGTCGAACCTATTACACACTTTCTGTTTTCCTGTATGATGTATGATGAGCAAAGAGCTAATATGTTAGCTCGGCTTACGGCTACCTTTCCAGCCCACTATGAGGATTGTCATCTGTTAAAACTCCTTTTGGGATCTGATGAGAGGACTACAGAAACGGGCAAAATTAAATGTATTTCATTGGCACCGAAACATGACCAAGTCCCAAAACCATCCTGACTGACTGGGTTCTGAGGTAAAAAGTAAAGGTAAAGGTTCCCTTGCTCGAAAGCCAGTCGAATCCGACTCTAGGGTTGCGGTGCTCATCTCCGTTTCAAAGCCGAAGAGCCAGCGCTGTCCGAAGACGTTTCCGTGGTCATGTGGCCGGCATGACTAAACACCAAGGTGCACGGAACGCTGTTACCTTCCCACCGAAGTGGTCCCTATTTATCTACTTGCAATTTCTTGCTTTCGAACTGCTAGGTTGGCAGGAGCTGGAACTAGAGACAGGAGCTCACCCTGTTTTGTGGCACCCGGGTCTTGAACCGCTGAACTACTGACCTTCCACAGCCTGCAGTTCAGCGTCTTAACCACTTGAGCCACCGCAGCTCCCCGGGTTCTGAGGACTTTGATCTAATTCTTATAGCAGGCTTCCTGATATTTTAGCTAACTTTTGAATTGTGCTAGTTTCATCCTTTTGTTATGTGACTGACAAGCCTTGGGTTGCTATCCTGCGCACAGTTGGCCTTGTTAAATCCCTCTGCAGACAATGGCCAGAATCCTACACAGAGTTGCACCTGGTGATTTCAGGGGGCTTAAGCAGGCTGAGCTCTGTGTTGGACTGTGGCTGGTATTTAAGCAATTTACCCATGCATCATCAACACAGCGCCTGCCGCTGACCTTGAAAACACAGCCGTGTTTTGGCACACAGTATTCCACAATCCCTGGGCCCCAGTCCAGTGCTTACAAATCTTACCCAGGCTGAACTTTAATACCTCTAGATTGACTGACCTCTAGTCTGGGAGATCAGACACATAAACAAAGCTCAATTGCATGCCAATGTTGCATCACTGATGGATTTCTCAGAGTATGCAGCCGGGTTCTGTGGGTGGCTAAAAGCAGGGCTCAGCACTGGAGGCCCTTCTTAGAAACAAGCCTTCACTTATATCAGGGGAGCTTAATTCTGAATAATAGGCTGAGTCCCATGAGCTTCTCTGCTTACAAAAGCGGGAGAAGAGGCCCCATCACCAAAAAGGGACCATGAGACCTACATGGAAGCTGTAGCAAAGAAGAGTATCGGGCAAGACTGAGGGGAGATTTTTACCCAGGATCACAGGGAGAGTCACTCCTGATTGTCCCACCAATCAAAGAAGTGTGTTTGGTAGGTACACGAGACAGGGTCTTTTCAGTGGCAGCCCCACGATTCTGCAACAACCTCCACAGGGAGATGCGCCTGGCCCCCTCAGGAGTCAGTGAGGAGATGGATTTATTTAGGAATGTATTTGATTAAGTGACTAGTGGTGCTAAATTGTGATTTTAAGTTCGGGTGCGTGTGTGTTATTTATTTGTTTAAATGTTTAGGACACCCTTCCCTGCAAGCGGGGCTCAGGGCAGCTTACAACAGAAAGGAACGTACAATAAATAACCAGAAGTTAAAATCCTACAATAAAATACATAGTGCATACATCAGCAGTAATTCAATCCATTCCAAGATGGTGAGAAAATTTCATATTTCACAAGCCTCCGGGGATTAGGATTGGGGGGGGCTTGCGGAGAATGGAGGGTATGACAATGCCCAGGGCTTTTTTTGTAGAAGAAGCCCAGCAGGAACTCATTAGCATAATAGGCCACACCCAACAGCCGAAAATCATTAGCATGTTAGGCCACACCCCTGACAGCATGGCTCATTAGCCTATTAGGCCACACCCCCGTGTTACCAGAAGTGTGGTCATCCAGCCACACCCACCTTTTGCTTCTTATTCTGTTTACCTTGCTTGTGGTCAAAACCCAGGGCCTTTTTTTGTAGCAGGGACTCCTTTGCATGTTAGGCCACACACCCCTACTGTAGCCAATCCTAATGAGTTTCTGCTGTTGGGTGTGGCCTATTATGCTAATGAGTTCCTGCTGGGTGTGGCCAACTCAGAAGCCAGCCGGAACTCCGTTCCTGTGTGTTCCTGCCCAAAAATAGCCCTGAGAATGCCAGTCTACACACTGCCCCCTCACTGTCCTCAACTGAATGCCTGGCGGAACATCTCTGCCTTACATGCCCTGCGGAAAAGTAACAAATCCCACAGGGCACGGATGTTCTCCATCAGAGAGTTCCACCAGGTAGGGGCCAGGGCCGAAAAAGCCCTGGCCCAGGTAGAGGACAGTCGGATCTCTCTTGGGCTGGGGACCACCGGGAGGTTTTTACTTCCCAAGCATAATGTGTGTTTAATACATATGTATTTAAGACGCTGAACTGCAGGCTGTGGAAGGTCGGTAGTTCAGCAGTTCGAGACCCGGGTGTGCCGCAAGACGGAGTGAGCTCCCGTCTCTAGTTCCAGCTCCTGCCAACCTAGCAGTTCGAAAGCAAGAAATTGCAAGTAGATAAATAGGTACCACTGCGGTGGGAAGGTAACAGCGTTCCGTGCACCTTGGTGTTTAGTCATGCCGGCCACATGACCACGGAAACGTCTTCGGACAGCGCTGGCTCTTCGGCTTTGAAACGGAGATGAGCACTGCAACCCTAGAGTCAGATTCGACTGGCTTTCGAGCAAGGGAACCTTTACAACCAAATATATATATACATAGTATGTATGTAAAATATGTATTTTACCTATATTGTAAGGGAGAAAGGCAGATAATGAATGTTTTAAATAAATCAACAGAATAAATAAATAAAAGCTGGTAGGATTCAACCTACAATGTTTAGGATCAGTTACAAAATAGACCCGGAAAGGAGATGCTACAGCCATGGTTTCTGTTTGCATGAGAACCAGTTTCCGAAACACTGAACCAAGCATCAGTTTTAACCCCCATTTTACAACCAAACTGCTACAGAAATAATCATGTTAGAATCCCAAGGGATGTCTGAAGCCACAACCCTTTGGAAGAAGAAAACACTTAGGGTTACAGTAAAAAGTCGTGTTTTACTAGGAAATTTCGACTCACCTACAAAAGCTTGCACAGATCTCAGGTGAAGGTGCCACATATGAAGGACTGAGCAGCCGCTGCTGTCTTTTTCGATGACTACTAGATAGAACTTCTCGGAGAAGGGTGGTGGGCGATAACCTTTAAAAAAAACACGCAAATATTATATGAAACTGACATTTGAATAACAACCAGATTTTAAGGAGGTCATTTTAGAAACCTCCTCACACAAAGGGCCACGCCAAAGATCCTTTCTTTAAAAGAAGAAAAATGTGCATGTAACAATTCATGTTAACATTTTATAACCTGAAAGTAATTTAAAAAGCGTTCATGGCACAACTGCATCAACAAGAAATGAACAGTTGTAGAACGCTTAATCTATCGGTCATTTATGGAAGACAGGCCATGGCTCAGAGCACCTGCTTTACATGCAGAAGGTTCCCAGGTACCATCCCCAACATCTCCAGTTGAAAGGACCAGGTAGTAAGGGATGTGAAAGACCTCGGCCTGAGACCCTGGAGGGCAGCAGCCAGCCAGAGTAGGCAATACTGACCAGGACAGACCAATGGCCTGATTCAGAAGAAGGCAGGTTCATATGCTCAGCACATAAAGATACAGCGGTTTGGATCCACTGGAACATTTCTGTGGCCAGGAGAGGGGTTCCGCCCCCAAAGCACAACTTTCTCCCTTGGAAGGAAGTATTCCCACCAGTGCAACACAGCTGGGGGGGGGGACAAGAAAGTCCTGCCCCACTGGCAGAAACACTTCCTTTCACGGAAATGCTCTGGTGGCTTCAAGGCATCTGCATGGGGGGGGGGGGGGGGGGTAGGGGGCAACGTTAGGCTTTTCTGCACCAGGATTTTATTCCAACTTGGACTGTTAACACCAGTTTCCCCTCCCCACCTTATACAGTATAAGTTGCCAGTTAGACATTTCTCTTCCTTTGGGGTGGAGCTGGTGGGGTGGGGGGTTTTCTGTGTTTTTTCAGACTACCACAAAAGTGGTCTGAAATAATATGGGGAAAACTAAAAGAGAAACTGGGAGAGCAACAACCAACCATTACTGAGTGCCAAGGAAGGGAAAAATTGGTGCAATTAGAAGAAGAAGAGATTGGATTTATACCCCGCCCTTCACTTGGAGTCTCAGAGCGGCTTACAAACTCCTTTCCCTTCCCCTCCCCACAACAGACACCCTGTGAGGTGGGTGGGGCTGAGAGAACTCTGACACAAACTGCTCTTTCTCAAGGACAGCTGTGCCAGAGCTTGTGACTGACCCAAGGTCACATCAGCAGGCGCAAGTGGAGGAGTGGGGAATCAAACCCGGTTCTCCCAGATTAGAGTTCGCACACTTAACCACTACACCAAACTGGCTCTCTTAGGAAACCAAACTGGAGCAAAAACCTGGTGTGGAAAAGCCAACTAGTTTTCAGTTACTCCACTATACCTTTAGATGGCTGGAAAAATATCTCTGTTTCTTTTATCTCGATATCTTCCTTATGTGGCTTGTATCCCAAAATGAAATCCTCTTGGAAGACATGAAGTAACTGTGTGTTTGACCCGCACTGGAAAATGCCAAAAGACAGAAAATTAACAACCTTACCCAGTTAAGGAATGAAACGATGCTAATTGTTCAGCATATAGCATATTCTCCCCCCCCCCATTTTATTTTTTTTGCTTCAAGGAAGCTACAAGTTATTACATTTAAAAAGAGAGAGACAGACAACTAAAAATGTATTAGCCTGCTATGCTGGTACTACGATCCTTAAAAAATTCCAAAACAACCTTGAATAGTATAATTGTTTATTGTAAACATGGAGTTCCTAGATAAAGCACAAAATAAAGCATCTTTTTAAAAAACAAATTTAGTGTTCATTAGTAAAAGTTTATTATGATTCCCATTGCCAAGGCATTTCTTGTGGAAATACTCTCTCTTCTCTCTTAAAAAGAAAACAGGCACTATTAGTGTTGCCAGGACCGACCTTTCTGCCAGTGGGGGGAATCGAGAACCCCCACCTGGACCAGGGCTGTTGGCAACCCTGAGCACAATCCAGCAATGGCTAGACGGACCTGATGAAGGGCTAGACCAGAAGAGATTCTGGGAGTTCCGTAACAAGGATTTTTTAAACTCAATGATCGGGCGCAGGAAGACCCAATCTGGATCAGGACAAGAGGGTGATGGTGGTGAAGCCTCTTTTGACCTAAAATAGCCCTGGGGAGTAAATCTTTGCCCCTAGGGGGTAATAACATTGCCAGGCCTCTGCTTTCAATTCCTGGAACAATTTAGGGGCAGGGCATGGGGAGGGGAATTGTTGATCAGTGTTGTGGCTTCACGTGTGGGTGAGGACATGACACTTTAGAAATTTCCCAGAGCTCAATGGTAAAATCACATAATTTGTGGAGCTTCCTAGAGTACTGCGACATCACTTCCTGGTGAAGTGGGAAGTGATGCCATGGCGCCAATGGCCCCTTTCTGAGATCCCACACTTGGATATTTGGTTGGCCCACAGTTAATTGGCACCTCTTGGTGGCTGTCCCTGAAAATCACAGTTAAAACCCCAGTGATAACCGTCACCCGATGATACCCTTACATCACAAGACCTAAGAACTACCTTGACTATTATACCTGCATTTTAAAAAATTGTACCTTTACTGACTTGTTTTGCTTATTAGCTGTTATTGGATTTTAGATGTTTCACCATTTCTCAATAGCCAAGAGCATTCATTGAAAAAAAATGGCGGCACGGAACTTTGCTAAATAAGCAAGCAGCAGATACCACTTAAATGATTCCCTATAACAACTACCCACCATTTACCTGGTCAGTTATGATATCTAATTCGATAATGCACCCTGGTCGAGCTGTTGATTGCTGACTCACAATGTTAAACACCTCGCCGATTAATTTCTAAAGCAAAAACAAGGAAGAAGTCAGCAGAACATGGGTTATTGGCACAGGAAAGCGACTTGTTCCCCGTCAGTTACTGCCACGGCCTTCCAGTTCTTTGCACTCCCATGAAATAACAAAAGCACATGATTAGAAATTAAATGACGCAACTGCTTGTGAGCCTCCTTACACTGCTTGCAAATTTGATCTTAACAGATTCTTCTCGGCTGTAACGTCTCTCCTCCCATGAGATCCATCTCCTAAGGAGTTCAATCTGATCTCCGCAGAATGTTACCTATTGGCAAAACGCTGGCCCTGTGCCAAGTTCTTTTCATTTGACAATAAAATCGATGTTGTAGCCAGACAAACGACAGAACAGTTTTTGACTGAGGAGCCAGGATTGCTGCTCATGTTGAGAGATAACAAACATGGACATTGTTTTTATTGGAAGAAGAAAGGATTGCAAGCCACATAAGAAACAGCAAACACCGTTGATTGTTGATAGGTCAAGACGGGTAGCTGTTGTTAGGCTGGTAAAAGAGGAGAGCGCAAAAGTGGGCTTGAAGCTCAACATCAAAAAACTAAGATTATGGCATCCAGCCCCACCACTCCTTGGCAAATAGAAGGGGAAGTCGTGGAAGTAGTGACAGACTTCATGTTCCTGGGATCCCAGATCACCGCAGACTGTGACAAAAGCCATGAAATTAAAAGACGCCTGCTCCTTGGGAGGAAAGCGATGGCGAACCTAAACAGCATGATAAAAAGCAGAGACATCACCCTGCCAAAAAAAGTCTGCATGGTCAAAGCAATGGTATTCCCAGTAGTCACGTATGGCTACGAGAGTTGGACTATAAGGAAGGCCGAGCGCCGAAGAATAGATTCTTTTGAACTATGGTGCTGGAGAAGACTCTTGAGAGACCCTTGGACTGCAAGAAGATCAAATCAGTCAATCCTAAAAGAAATCAACCCTGGAAGGCCAGATAATGAAACTGAAGCTCAAATACTTTGGCCACCAAATGAGAAGGGAGCCCTCACTGGAGAAGACCCTGACGCTGGGAAAGACTGAAGGTCAAAGAAGGGGACGGCAAAGGATGAGATGGTTGGACAGTGTCATAGATGCAACGAACATGAAGTTGAGCAAACTTCAGAGGACGGCGGAAGACAGGAAGGCCTGGCGAAATCTTGTCCATGGGGTCGCGAAGAGTCGGACTCGACTGTGCGACTGAACAACAACAACAAAAGCAGCAGAAAAGAGCAGGAGTCTTAAAGACTAACAACATTCGTGGCAGGGTAGGAGCTTTGGTGAGTCACTAGTCACTCCTTCAGAAACAGCCAGAATTCTAGCTGTGTCTGAAGAAGTGAGCGGTGACTCACGAAAGCTCCTACCCTGCCACCAATTTTGTTAGTCTTGAAGGTGCTCTTGGACTCTTGCTCTTTTCTCCCGTTGACTGTTGGGAGAGGAGAGGAGGGTTTATAGGGAATGACTGCAACAAAACTCCAACGTAGTTGCCAGCTGAGTGACCCAGCTGAGCTCTGAGCAGGAGCAGGAGACAGAGGGGTGAATGGTTTTTTACTTGCTTTCAGCTGAGAGGATTCAGCTGAGGATATTGGTGGGAGAACTGGTCTGGGAGTGTGGGGAAGCACTTGGAGTTGTTGCAGATTCCTGGCTGATTGAGAGAGGGAGAGGAAAGGGCATTGTTTGACTGTGATTGACTGCAATCGAGTATTTAAGAAAGCACCTTGACAGAGGCACGAGCCTCTGGCACGAGCCAAAGGGCGACCTAAAGGGCTCTTTGTCCAGGGACTCTTGGACTAGGGGCTCTGTGAGACGCCCAAGAAGAGGCAGAAAGTGGAAACCCTAGGCTCTTTGTTTTCCCCATAAAGTAATTTGACTTTGACAAGAAAAAACACATAAATACAAAGGGATTTAAAAGGGGGCTTACATTTACTTATTTTAAAAGAATTATGAAGCCAGAATGCCAGCAGGGGGTTGGGGGCTATCCAGTGTTTTGCACGGAGTGTCACATGTATGACTATCTGCCCACTGGACAGAAGTCTTGGGTGTGTCCTCGGTGCAAGGAGCTCCTGGTTCTCAGGGAACGTGTGTGCTCCCTTGAGGCCAAGGTGGCTGACCTGGAGAAGCAGAGACAGTCAGCTAGGCACACAGAAAAGACTCTCGGGGACTTGTTAGCTACGTCCCACTCTGGATCTGGCAGCCCCGCTGCTGTCAGGGAGCATGAGGGTCTAGGGGAAACAGGGCACCGTGCTGAGGATAAGGGGAATGTGCCCTCAGAAGGGACCTCTTCCCCAGCTGGTGAGCGGGTATCCTTTTGCACCAAGGAACCATCCCTGGGCAGGGTGGGAGGGGGGCTCTTGGTAGTGGGTGATTCGATCCTTAGGCAGGTAGACAGCTGGGTGGCGAACCCGCGTACTGACCGTATGGTGACTTGCCTGCCTGGTGCGAAGGTAGCGGACATTACGCGTGTTTTAGATAGGCTGGTAGATAGTGCTGGGGAGGAGCCAGTGGTCGTGGTGCATGTCGGCACCAACGATGTGGGGAAATGCAGTCGTGAGGTCCTGGAGGAGAAATTTAGGCTGCTGGGCAGGAAACTCAAGGCCAGGACCTCCAAGGTAGCCTTCTCAGAAGTGCTACCTGTTCCACGCGCAGGGCCGGAGAGACAGGCACAGATCAGGAGTCTCAATGCGTGGATGAGACGATGGTGTAGAGGGGAAGGGTTCAGGTTTGTTAGGCACTGGGATTCTTTTTGGAACAAGAGGGAGCTGTACAGGCGAGACGGTCTCCACTTGTCCCGAGAAGGAACCAGGCTGCTGGCACTTAAAATCAAAAAGGTGGCAGAGCAGCTTTTAAACTGAATATTGGGGGAAAGCCGACAGGAGATGAAAAGTCTCTGGTTCGGGTTGGCTCATCTCAGAGAGATGAGGGGGTACCTGTTGCTTTTCTACAGGGAGGTGGATTGAAATTGTCCACTGAGACCATGGCTAGTGACATGGACTGCCTGACAAGGTCTCGAGATTGCAAGAGGAAGGTGGCAGGCTTAACCAGTATGGGAAATTACAGCTGTTTCTATACAAATGCTCGAAGTGTCCGAGGTAAAATCGGGGAGTTGGAGTGCTTGGTGTCAGAGGGAAAAATAGACATTGTGGGTATTTCAGAAACTTGGTGGGATGAGGAAAATCAGTGGGATACGGTGATTCCCGGTTATATATTATATCGGAAGGATAGGGGGGGAAGGGTTGGAGGTGGGGTGGCTCTGTATGTCAGAGAGGGTATAAAGTCCAGAAAGATCGAGAGGCTAAGAGAATTGGATTCGCTTCTTGAAGTTCTGTGGGTTGAAATAGGGGGGCCAAAAGGAAACTTAACACTGGGAGTTTGTTATCGCCCACCGGATCAAAAGATAGAGGAGGATTATAAAATGATGAATGAATTAAAGATAGCAGCTAGACAAAAACACTGTGTCGTAATAGGTGATTTTAACTACCCACACATTGATTGGGTCAATATGTGTTCTAGTCGAGAGAAAGAGATTGAGTTTCTAGACACTCTAAATGACTGTGCTATGGAGCAGATGGTCATGGAACCTACCAGGGGAGAGGCGATCCTTGATTTGGTCCTAAGTAACACTCAAGACCTGGTGAGAGATGTAAAAGTGATTGCACCGCTTGGGAACAGTGATCATAATGTTGTTGAGTTCAACATTTGTACAAATAGGGAATTGGCCAAAAAGACTCACACAACCACTTTTAACTTTAAAAGGGGTAATTTTTCTGATATGAGGGGACATGTGGGGAGGAAACTGAAGGGAAAAGTAGAAAGGGTCAAAACCATTGGGGAAGCTTGGAAACTGTTTAAAACTACAATTCTAGAAGCTCAAATAAAATATATTCCGCAGGTTAGGAAAGGCACAAACAGGTATAAGAAAAAGCCTACATGGTTAACAAACAAAGTAATGGAAGCTGTAAAAGGTAAAAAGGATTCCTTTAAGCGGTGGAAAGCTAGTCACAGTGAGGCTGATAAAACAGAACACAGGCTATGGCAAATAAAATGCAAGTCTGTGGTCAGGCATGCAAAAAGGGAATATGAGGAGCATATAGCAAAAAATGTAAAGACCAACAATAAAACTTTCTTCAAATACATTAGAAACAGGAAACCAGCCAGGGAGGCAGTGGGGCCCTTGGATGACCAAGGGGTAAAAGGAGTACTGAAGGATGATAGGGAAATGGCTGAGAAGCTAAATGCATTTTTTGCCTCCGTCTTCACTGTGGAAGATGAGAGGTGCTTGCCCACTCCAGAGCCGCTGAGTTCGGGAGGGGTGTTGAAAGACCTGAGTCAGATTGAGGTGACGAGAGAGGAGGTCCTAAAACTGATAAACAACTTAAAAACTGATAAATCACCAGGCCCAGATGGCATACATCCAAGAGTTCTGAAAGAACTCAATTGTGAACTTGTGGATCTCCTGACAAAAATATGTAATCTCTCCTTAAAATCAGCCTCCATTCCTGAGGACTGGAAGGTAGCTAATGTCACTCCCATCTTTAAAAAGGGTTCCAGAGGAGATCCGGGAAATTACAGGCCTGTCAGTCTGACGTCGATACCGGGTAAATTGGTGGAAACCATTATTAAGGAAAGAATTAGTAGGCACATAGATGAACAAAACCTATTGAGGCAGACTCAACATGGGTTCTGTAAGGGAAGATCTTGTCTCACTAACCTGTTAATGTTCTTTGAGGGGGTGAACAAACATGTGGACAAGGGGGATCCAATAGATATTGTTTACCTTGACTTCCAGAAAGCTTTTGATAAAGTTCCTCATCAAAGGCTCCTAAGCAAGCTCAAAAATCATGGGATAAAAGGACAAGTCCTTTTATGGATCAAAAACTGGCTAATTAATAGAAAACAGAGAGTGAGTATAAATGGGCAGTTCTCCCAGTGGAGGGGTGTAAGCAGTGGGGTACCACAGGGATCAGTACTTGGTCCACTGCTTTTTAACTTGTTCATTAATGATTTGGAGTTGGGAGTAAGCAGTGAAGTGGCTAAATTTGCGGATGATACGAAGTTGTTCAGGGTGGTGAAAACCAGTGAGGATTGTGAGGCACTCCAAAGGGATCTGTCAAAGTTGGGCGAGTGGGCGTCAACATGGCAAATGGGGTTCAATGTGGCCAAGTGCAAGGTGATGCACATTGGAGCCAAAAATCCTAACTATAAATACACGTTGATGGGGTCTGAACTGGCAGAGACAGATCAAGAGAGAGATCTTGGAGTTGTAGTAGATAACTCACTGAAAATGTCGAGACAGTGTGTGACTGCAATAAAGAAGGCCAATGCTATGCTGGGGATTATTAGGAAGGGTATTGTAAACAGATCAGCCAATATCATAATGCCGCTATATAAATCAATGGTGCGACCTCATCTGGAATACTGTGTGCAATTCTGGTCACCACACCTTAAAAAGGATATTATAGCTTTGGAAAAAGTGCAGAAAAGAGCAACTCGAATGATAAAAGGGTTGGAACACTTTCCCTATGAGGAACGGTTAAGGCGCTTAGGGCTCTTTAGCTTGGAGAAACGACGACTGAGGGGTGACATGATTGAGGTTTATAAGATTATGCATGGGAAAGAGCAGGTAGAGAAAGAGGTACTTTTCTCCCTTTCTCACAATACAAGAACCCGTGGGCACTCCATGAAATTGCTGAGCGGTCGGGTTAGAACGGATAAAAGGAAGTACTTCTTCACCCAAAGAGTGATTAACACTTGGAATTCACTGCCACAGGAAGTGGTGGCAGCTACAAGCATGGACGGCTTCAAAAGGGAATTAGATAAGCATATGGAGCAGAGGTCCATCAGTGGCTATTAGCCACAAGGTATAGATAGGGACTCTGGGGCAAGTGATGCTCTGTCATCTTGGTGCTTGGGGGGGGTCAACAGTGGGAGGGCTTCTAATGTCCTGGCCCCACTGGTGGACCTCCTGATGGCACTGGTATTTCTGGCCACTGTGTGATACAGAGTGTTGGACTGGATGGGCCTTTGGCCTGATCCAACATTGGCATCTCTTATGTTCTTATGCCTCCTACATCCTTTTGGAGAGGCATATCGGTAGCAACTCAGAACAAAATCCACTCCCCACCTTGTAATGCGGGGGGAGGGGGTCTGCCAGCTACACTTCCTGGCTGCTGGCTTTCCCCCATGCTGCCGTTTGGGAGGACAGTTCAGGCGGTCCTCTGCCATTCAGCGTTGGACTTCGGTTTGAGGGGCTGTCTGTGCTCAGCTGCAGTGAGGTGTTCCTACGCAGGGGTGTCCCTGACACAGGCTGGTATGCCAGCAAGGCCTGGGAGTCGGGGGTCGACGGGTTCGTCGTCATGGGGAGACGTGGCTTGGCTTAACTCGACAGTGCCCCGTTTTCTGCCCAGCCACAGGACAACAAGGCTGCAAGCAACAGTTGGGACAGACTGTGGCTCAGTGGCAGAGCATCTGCTTGGCATACAGAAGGTCCCAGGTTCAATCTCCAGTTGAAAGGACCAGGCAGGAGGTGATGAGAAAGACCTCTTCCTGAGACCCTGGAGAGCCGCTGCCAGTCTGAGTAGACACTACTGACTGTGATGGACCAGGAGTTTGATTCTGCATAAAGCAGCTTCATGTGTGTTCATGCGTATTAGCCCTACATCACCTGCACAGGAATGCAAGATTCGAGTCCAGTAGCACCTTAGAAATTAACAAGATTTCCAAGGTATAAGCCTTCTAGGGTCAAATCTCCCTTCATCAGGTACAAGTAGGATTGAAGATCCCTGACTCTTCTATCTCAAGTCAGAAGGTGGGAGGGGTATTGCAAGGAAGGGAGTCAGGAGGCAAAGCTGCAATGCATTTATTTACAGAGCATTTCTCCCCTGCCCTATTCAAGCTGATTACACTTTGCATTGTACCTCTGCATCCTGACTCCCTTCATTACAGCACCCCTCCCACCTTCTGACTGAGATATAAGGGCTCAGGGATCTCCATTCCTACTTGTACCTGACAAAGGGAGTGGTGACTCTCAAAAGTATCCCCTGGGAAATCTTGTTGGTCTTTAAGGGGCTACTGGAGCTGAAGCTTGCTTTTCCACTGAAGAACAGCACAGCTGCCCACCTGAAACTACCTGCATAGGGACGGCAACATTTACCTCTCTAGTGAAGGATGCAATACCTTCTTGGCTGACTGACAGCCTGCTTGAGTTTTTTGTCAGGGTCAGGGAGGCATGTTAAGTTAAGCTAAACCCTCTTGGAGAAGGAATAGAGTGAGTTGTTACAGCACAGGCTGCAACCCACACGACACAGGAGCAAATTGGTAATAATAATAATAATAATAATAATACAATTTAGCCATTAACAAACCTTAACATGCATTACAAGAAGAAGGAGATTGGATTTCTACCCTGCCCTTCACTACCCGAAGGAGTCTCGGAACAGTTTACAATCGCCTCCCCTTCCTCTCCCCACAACAGACACCCTGTGAGGTAGGTGGACCTGAGAGAGCTCTGAGATAACTTCTCATGAGAGAACAGCTCTCAGAGAACTGTGACTGGCCCAAGGTCACCCAGCAGGCTTCATGTGGAGGAGTGGGGAATCAAACCCAGTTGTCCCAGATCAGAGTCCACGCTCCTAACCACTATACCAAATTGGGTCATGATTTCATTCTAGGGTGCAGGGCCAATATGGTCATTTAATTGGATAAACTACTGGGAGCAAGGGTATATAGTACATAAAACTCTTCAAACTGCCTGCTGACAGTGGGGGGGGGGGGAAGGATGCATATTTGTGTACACTGTATGTGTTTCATTTGCAAAAACATAAATCCCTCAAGGCACGGCAAGCACAAGGTTTTTTTTTTAATGACCTTTCAAACAGACACACATGTGATTTCTCAACACATCCCAATCAAAGCCCTTCCTTCAATTTTATGTACAAAAATGTTCTCTTGCCACATGGGTGGTGGAAAGTGCGTCCAGTTGCAGCTGAGTTATGGCAAGAGACAAACAGAGGTAGTTTTGCCCTTGCCTGCCTCTGCGTAGCAACCCTGGACTTCCTGGGTGGGTCTCCCATCCAAATACGGACCAGGGCTGATTCTGCTTAGCTTCCAAGATATGACAAGATCAGGCAAGGCTGGGTCATTCGCCCACCCATTACATTAGCACTCACTTAAAGACAAAAATATATTACACTGCGATTGAAGGAAGAATCCTAGGTCAAACCTGGGTGGGATTTATTCAGGCTCCTAGAAGTAAACTGCATTTAAAACTTACGGAGGATCCGGGGTCACTCAGTTCATCCAACAGTTTCCGTGCGTCCACCACAGCTTGGTATAACCGCAGGTTTCTGCCGTCTGAGGCGACAAAGCAAGCACTGGCAGAATTGCAGTAGGTACCTAATTTTAAAACATGCCAAATGTCAGCATGACATGCGATGCAACGTTTAATGCTTTATTAATTATCGCTACGAAGAGCATGAAGGCATTAAGTAATTTCATTAGGTTCCGCCAGGCAACAAATTAAACAATGTACCGCTGCAGAATTGAGGAGCTGAGTTTGAAATAAGATTAGTTCTTTGCACATATTTCTTTGAAGGATTAGGAAAACAAATGAATCAACACGGCCTAGAATGTATCAGCAAGACGAAGAAGACCCATCAAATGTCACATCATGAAGATTTACTGAAAAATAAGACTAGAAAAGAAATCTTCCCCAAGCCTTGGAAACCTCCCCATCTCAGACTTGTCAAGAAGACATCATTTACGGATGCCAGCCTCCAGGTGGGGCCCAGGGATCCCCCAAAATTACAGCTCATCTCCAAACGACAGAGATCAGCTGCCCTGTAGAAAATGGCTGCTTTGGAAGGTGGACTCTGTGGCACCGGAGCCCCCTGAGGTCCCTGTCCACCCCAGGCCCCATCCCCAAATCTCCAAGAGTTTTCCAACCTGGATCTGGCAACCCTACCCCAGCCACCAGGTGGGGGACCTGGAGGACCAGACCAGTGGTCCATCTAGTCCAGCATCCTGTCTGACACAGCAGCGAGCCAACCAGTTCCTCTGGAGGGCCAACGGCAGGGCAGAGAGGCCTTCCCCTGATATTGCCTCTTGGCTCTGGGATTCAGAAGTTTAGTGCCTCTGAATGTGCTGGTTCCCCTCAGTCACCATGGCCAGTAGCCTTTGATAGACCTGTCCTCCATGAATCCATCTAATCTCCTTTAAAAGCTGTTTATTACTGAGGCCATCACGACATCCTCTGGCAGCGAATTCCACATTTTAATTGTTCTCTGCGTAAAGGAATATTTCCTTTTGTCCGTCCTGAACCTACTGCCCATCAGCTTCATTGGATGCCCTCGAGTTCTAATACTTTGGTAAAGGGAGAAGAATTTCTCTTTGTCAGCTCTCTCCACCCCTTGCATAATTTCATAGATCTCTATCATGTCCCCCCTGAGTCGTCTCTTTTCTAAATCGAGAAGTCCCAGACCCTTTAGCCTTTCTTCGTAGGGCAGGGGTCAACCCTAACACATCTGGCTCCTAGAACAAAGCTTCCGGTCTCAAACTCCAAGGAAACATAAACCAAAACCAGAATCAGAAATTGTGAAAACAGCTTTTTGCAGAGAAGGGCTTCCATAATTCTGAAAACAAGCAGAGTTCTCTGAAGCATCAAGAGAGAAGCATTACCCTTCTCAGGCTCTGAAGAGGATTGCAGCAATTCCATGAGAAAGCAAACAAGCGGAGACCAAAAGAGCTCTTCACGACATTATGCACACATTTTCACGGAGTTGCTGTATTACAAAACCTTCTCCGTTTCAACAGCTAGGCTGCTTGCCTGCAGAAATCAATTTTCAAGTAGCTGGATTTATTTTCGTGTTTGCCTCCCGAACATAAAAATAAGGAAGGTTTTTCCAACATGCCTCAAGAAAAAAACAACAACAAAAAGAATGTGTTTCTAGCGAGCGGGTCAAGTGGCAGCATGCAATGGGTTGCTTCCAGAAGAGACCAAGGCCCTTCTGCTTGGGGAAAAAAAACCCAGGTCCACGGTTGTCAGGGATTTCCCTCTTGAACAACACTGCCTCTCACTTTATGCCCAAGAGTCGTATGACTCATTTTGGGGGGAGGGGGTTTGCAAAGATGTGTGTGGAGGGGAATGAAGATCCCTTGTACGAGCTCTGTTTGCAGTTCTTGGGATTCAGCCCAACGTTATCTACAAAAGCAAGTATCCAATCGTGCAATTTTTCTGGAGGGAACAGCATTTTTGCATGGGGAAAAGAGAGGGGTGATCTCCACTGATTCCCTCCTCCCACTGTAAACCCCTACTATGTAACTCAAGAAGAAGAAGTGGAGGAGGAAGAGGAGGAGGAAAAGGAGGAGGAAAAGGAGGAGGAGATTGGATTTATACCCCGCCCTTCACTACCCAAAGGAGTCTCAGAGCGGCTTACAAACTACTTTCCCTTCCCCTCCCCACAACAGACACCCTGTGAGGGAGGTGGGGCTGAGAGAGCTCTGACAGAAATGGCTCTTTTTCAAGAACAGCTGTGCCAGAACTGTGGCTTGCCCAAGGTCATCCAGCAGGTTCAAGTGGAGGAGTGGGGAATCAAACCCAGTTCTCCCAGATTAGAGTCCGCGCACTTAACCACTACACCAAACTGAGCATCCACTGTCTCCCAGGAACAACATTTCAGGGGAGGGGGGGGAGGCTGCAGCAAGAAGAGGAAAGTGGGAGAGTCCTAGTTAATGGACATCTGGATATACACGCCAAAATCCCCACAACCTTGCTTTGCACACAAGCCCGAAATCACCCACCGAGACAGTAGCTGGGGATCAGAGTTGGAAGCCAGGCCACGTTAGAGAAAGCTGAGGTATGAAGAGAATTGATACGCGCCAGCTCCGACACTCCTCCGGTGTACGACAGGGGGCCAATGGGGTCTACGCGCCACAGAATCAGTTCGCTGTAGATGGCGTTTGGATCGTGGAATGTCCGAGTGGCCGCGTTCCGGAGCTGCTGCCTGGAAGAGCCTTTGAGAAGCCTCATAGGATCCACCATTTTGTTTAGGCCGTCCGAGTCCCAGGGCTGATCGGATTCGGGGGTCAGCAGAGCATTGTGGTGGGAAGATGTTAACAGCAGGGGGAGGACCGAGTGGCAGGCCAGGTCGTTGAGATGAAACCGGTGTCCGCAGTACCGAAACTTGTGAGTGACGGTATGCACCATCGTGAAAGCAGACTTGTCTGCAAAGGAGACGGCCCACTGGTTTAGGGAGCCATCTATGTGTTTGGAAACCATCATGACGGTGGGAACGGTGATGTTTACGCTCGAACTGTCCTGGGGACCGCTTGGTCTCCATCCCGACATGTCCTCAGAGACCCTGGATCTCCTCTGTGGCGGGGCGTTACTGATTTCTTTCGCGGAGGTAGTACAGGCATACATCATGATATTTTTACTAAGGGAGCTCGCGTCTCCTGATGGAAACGCCACTGGAATCTGAGAAGAAAACGAAACCTTAAAAGAGAGAGAGAAGAAACAGAGAGGATAATAAGATGAACAGCCGTATTTGTACCAAGTCTCCTTTCCCAAACATACATAAAAATCCCTGTCAGAAACCAATTACCAATTAACTCCATGTTAAATTGGAACATATTTCAGTCCTACGTGGATAAAAACCAGAGCCACTGAGCTCTTGAAAGCCAGTATGACGCAGTGGTTAGAATGCTGGCCTACGATCTAGGAGACCCGGATTCGAATCCCCACTCTGCCATGGAAGCTTGCCGGCTGGCCTGGGGCCAGTCACATGGGCTCAGCCTAACCTACCTCACAGGATGGTGTGAGGATGAAATGGAGAAGGACGCTGTGAGACGCGTTGGGTCCCCATTGGGGGGAAAGGTAGGGTATAAAGGAACAAATAAATGGATTCAGGTGTTAATTAACAAATAGAACACTGTGTGCAATTTAAGATGAATAATGTAATGTATTCAGAAGCTGCCATGAATGCATCAGTTGTAATGTAAAACATCTCATTAGGAAGCTATGTTAAGCTTCGTCTTGGGCAGGGATTCAAGTCCAAGACTAATGTGTCCAATCACGATAAAGCAAACCGTGAGCGGGAATGAAAGTGATTGGCCCTTATACGCTCAACCGCATTGGTTGTTATCTGTATAGTAGGTGTGGCTACATTAGCCGGGAAATGTTTAAATACCGAACAGCGACTATGGACAAGCTGTTCGGGCTATCAGATGTTGTACCGTGTTGGAGAAGTGTTCGTGTTGAAGATTAAACTTGAGTTTTTGCTGAAATCACTCTCCGACTATTTGTTAAGCGCTGGACTTAACAAATAAACCCATCTTGACCCACAATGGAAGGGTGAGGCATAAATATTTAACAAAATAAAAAACATGCTTCACTAATAAAACGTATAATAAAATATGCAATTTAGAACACGAAGTCGAACTTTTCTAGCTCCCCTTTACCTGAACTTGTCTAAAGATCCCAGGGTTGTATTCATCCAAATATTTCACATGCCACACTAGGAAGGTACCATCGATGGGGTGGATGGTGAACAGCATGTCTGGATTCTTGTTCCACTCTTTCAGGAGCATTTCTATCTTATGGTCCAGCAGTACGGTGGGAAGCGGAACGGGCAAGGCAGCTGGCGAAAGAATCTTGGGGCTCCCCTCTCTCTCCCCATCTTCGTGTTCTGAAGAACCGGTTCCTGTCCCTGTCTCAGATTCTCTATCGAGAGACAACTCTGAAATGAGACGTAAAATTCATTCGTGCCGTGCACAAGTCATGGCCAAACGCATGGGTCTGGGGATCACAAGCTCCTTCCTCCTCCTCCTCCTCCTTCCCTCTGGTGTGCTCCAATTCCCACCTCCCTCTCTTTTGCAAGCACAAACACAGGGTGCATTCAGACACGCCGTTTCAGCCGGCATAAACTGTACCGGTTGGAACCGGTACAGTTTATGCCGGCTGAAACGCGATCACACTTAACTCCCTCACAGCGGAGCCCATCGCTGTATGCCCGTTCACACGCTGCGGGCGTCGGCTTTTTTTTTTAAACTCAGTTTGAGCATGCGCATAGGCAGCCATCCACAGAATGGCGATCTTTGTGCATGCTCAAAACACCCCGTATTACATTTAAAGTTTAAAGGTAAGGACTTACCTTTAAAGTTTAAAGTCCAAACTGGCCTCCCTGAAGTCCCGGACTCCTCCGGAAAGTTAAACTAAGGTCTTTTTTAAAAAAAACAAACGCCGGGGCAAAGCTTCGCCCAAGCACATATCAGCAACCTAAAAGAAAATGGCAGGCAAAAATCGGAAGCCTCGGGCTTCCGAACGGAAGTGGCTAGACACCGGTGGAGGGCGGTCAGACGGCGGGTACAGCGATTACAACTGCTGTACTCAGGATACCACCACTTGGGGACCTAGTGGCAGAGTACAACGGTTTAAAGGGCTTTGCAATGGTTAGGGACGGAAGGCAGATGTTCTACGTGTGAACACCGGTAAGTACACCGATTGCAACCGGCACCTATACCGTTGCAAACGCTGCATCTGAACGCACCCACACTGTGCCATTACATTAGAATCAAGGGCGATGCGGTGTAGCAGTTAAGAATTTGGGTCTAGGATCTGAGACAATTGGGTTCGAATTCTTTGTTCAACCATAGAAGTACTGGGTTAATTTTTTTAAAAAATCAGCTGCCTGGGAAGTGCAGGAGCTTAATCACAGTCTCCCGGATCCTCCATGATTCCCTATTAAGGGGGAAATGCTGTTCAAACAAATTACAACGATGATCTGATGCCAATGGTAACGAGCGAAATAAATTTTACTTGCAAAAATAGAAGCACATCTTACATGACATATTCATGCAGGGACATTTAACTTATTGCGAACAGATTAACTTAAAAAAGGCTAGGTTGCCACAGCAGCTCCAAATCCAGGTAAGACAGAGAAGAAGAAGAGAGGTCCTAGTGTACTTGAGTGAGAGAATTCTCTTAACCCTTTCTCTCCCAGATCCTCTTGCATGCAGAGTTACCCACCCAGTGACCTTGGTCTCATCACAACCCCTCAATTTAACTTAACTTAACCCTCGCAAGGTTGTTGTTATAGGATTAAGTGGAGGAAGGGGGAACACCGTGCAAAGCTACACTGAGTCCCCAACCAGGGAGGAAAGCAGGATGCAAATTTTAAAAATAAGAATCATGTTCGTTCCACAAACCAAAGTCGGAAACTAACCAAGGGTCACGGCGGACTCAGGCTTTGAAGCTGGTTGTAGTTAAATGGGCCTTGACCTGGATAGCCCAGGCTAGCCCGATCTCAGAAGCTAAGCAGGGTCACCTTGGTCAATATTTGGATCGGAGGCCCTGAGGAAGTCCAAGGTCATGATGCAGAGGGAAGCAATGGCAAACCGCCTCTGAACGTCTCTTGCTTTGAAAGAGATGGGCTCGCCCTAAGTCAGTTGGGACTTGACAGCACTTTCTACCCCCACAGCGTAGTGGGAAACCTACTAAGGGTCTTAAGCAGGATCCACTCTGGGACCGACGTAATTCTCTTAAGTGGAATGAAGGTGTGTGCATAAGATGAATACGACTGGAAATTCGCTTTGGTCCTGCCATGTACCTGCCACCGAATAAATCAGCAGTGCCAACCATTTAAAGCCACTCCACTGTATTCTGTCTCACAGTTCTCAACAGTCCATTGCCCAGGTAAACACGGCTGCTGTGCTACTAACCATGGTCAAGTTTCATGTGCAAACCCCTCTCCTTCTCTTCCAGCTCATCCAGATCTTCCACATCCTCCTCTACGTTTCTCATCTGCTCGTCGGTGAGTTGCCGAAGGTGTTGCATAAATATCTCAGTGCAGGATGTAAAATAGAACTCTTTATTGTTCAGCCAGTGAACAACGAAGCCTTCGTTTCCTTCATCGACACTGAAAGCTGTCTTAACCAAAGCTGGTGGGATGTCTGAGAGGATACAGTCATTGTCATTCCGGGGTGGGTTGGGGAGAAGAACAAAGGTTGAATTAGATATTTAAGAGAGATCATTTTCAGTTGGGGGGGGGGGACAATAGATTTCTATATCAGGAAGGAAGGGAGAGGGGGAGAGGGAGAGAGAGAGAATGAAAACTGGCACACAGACTAGGGCTAAGGATGGCTGCTTTGGAGGCTGGACTCCATGACATCACATCCCTGGTAAGTTCCCTCCCCTCCGCAAACGCCACCCTCCCCAGGCTCTGCCCCCAAATCTCCAGGAATTTCCCCACCTGAAGTTAGCGACCCTGACAAGGAAGTGACTGGAAAAAGAGTACTTTAAGAGACACTTAAGCTCTGCACTAATGAATATAAAAGTAACAAGCCTGCAACAGGAGGCATAAAACCCAAACTGATGCATGTCAAAACAGTAAAGGAAGATCAGGACAATGCTGCTTTAAAATAGAAAAGTGGTTTCCAGGAAGTGCAATTATTAAAACATACAGCACTTATCATCTTAGTGCATGTTGAAGTTAGGCATGTGCAAAAAAAAAAAGTTTTTTCCCCAGTTCGGGTCTACTGGACCAGGAAAATATCGACATGCCAGAATATTCCTGAATACCAATATAGCTTTTGTATTGGGATTTGGGTAAATATTCGGCAAACCCAAATGTATTCAGCTCTATTATACCCTATGGGGACTGTCCCCATAGGATATAATAGAGAAGGGATTTAAACTTTAAATGCTTGCTGAATTCACTCGCTGTATCACACTGCGGCAGCAAGTGAACTCTGTGAGTGAACTCAGCAAGCATTTAAAGAGATTGTGGACTCTTTAAATGCCTTCTAACCATGCCCAAATAAAAGCCAAATAATACCAATAAGGTATTTTTCAGGTATTCATTCAGCTCGGTATATACCGCTTGCACACCTCTAGTTGAAGTTAATGTCAGCAGACCAAAGAAAAGGAAGCACACATTATCCCTTTCACTTTTCCCCCCAAGACAAAGTATTCAGCGTTAGAGGTCTGCATGCCCAGAAACGGCCCACCAATCTAAAAAATTTGGGTCCCTTTGCTCCCAGCAGGAAATGACACACTCCGGCAGTAGATTCAAGACAGACAAAAGAAAGTGCTTACTTCACACAATGGGTAGTTGGACTTGTGAAACTCACGGCCACTAGATGTGTCAATGGATTTAAAAGGAGGCAGGCAGATTAATAGAGGATGGGTGTATTGCTTCATATTAGCCCTGGTAGCTGAATGGGACCTCGGGACTTGGAAGTAGAACATCTCTGATGGACAGATGCTCAGGAGCAGCTAGCAGGTGAGGGCCTCGCTCATGGGTTTCTCTGTGGCTTCTGGCCACTGCTGCAAGCAGGATGCTGCACTAGTAGGCTTACCAGATGCCTGCTAATGGCAAGCAAGCTCCTGGTGACTGTTGCTGATGCCCACCGACACTTATCTGGGTGGCAAGTGGAAGCAGGCTGACAAAATGGGGGAGAGGCCGCACGACGACATCACTTCTCGAAGTGCCAGCAATGCACCAGGGTAATATTCGAGCACTCGCTCAGAAACTCCATAGAGTCTGGGGAGACTGCTAGAGTGTCGCCCCAGTGCCTGCCTGGCAGTACTACACACTAGGGAGAACACTGGTCTGATCCAGCAGGGCTCCTCTTCCGTCCCAGAGACCCCCGTGACCTTGCAGAGACCTCTGGGAAATCCCTCGTTTCCTGATGGAAGAGGTGCCCTGAGAAATAATGGAGGACGGAAAGCAGCGTCTTCTCTCCAGGACGGCCAGCACAAGGGAAGGATGGAGGCAGAATAATGGAAGACCTGACCTGGATAGTCCAGGCAAGCTGAATCTCGTCAGATCTTGGAAGCTAAGCTGGCAAGTACTTGGAAGGGTGACCTCTTAGGTATACCAGGGCTGGGATGCAGAGGCAGGTAATACCAAAGCCACCTCTCTGAAACTTCCTAGCCCCACTAGGGGTCGCCAGACGTCACCATGGCTTCCAGGTTCGCAAATACACACACACACACAAAATACTCACCCCCTCTCAAAATGGAAGAGGCTGAGATGGTGTACTGGGTAGGCAGGGGTGGGACAGTGGAGGGCTGTTTGTCCACCTCGCCCCCACATAACCTGAAGCCGACCCTGAAATGGTAACTAGGCTTCTGAAGGAAGAATGGCTTGTCTCACCTGTGGCGGGATTAATGCTCGCAGCAATATGGAAATGGCAGAGGGCGTTTGCGTGGTGCGAAATGTGCCGCTGGACTTCGTGCGTCCCCAGCTGGTTAGCCAAATCTTCCGTGTGTGTGATGAGGACGGAAGATCTTCGCTGCCCCTTTCTCATATTTTTCAAGTGGTGAATGGTCTAAAGAAGTTGGGGGCAGGGAGAAAAGCGAGAGAGAAAACACACCGTTTGACATCCGTAAGAAACAAACAAAAAACAAAAAAAAAGGCTGGTTGGTCGTGAGGATTTGCTTCTGAAAAAGTGCAAAAGCATGATCTCTTTCTGAGACACGGATCAAGCAAACAATTAAAACAATCCACACCAAGATCTTTTCTAACTGAAGAAAAGGTTGAAAGATTAAGGCATATCCTTAGGCTTGCCAACTCTGGTTTGGGAAACACCTGGAGATGGGGGGGGAGCCTGGAGAGGCCGGGGTTTGGAGAGGGGGGGGGACCTCGGTAAGGTATAAAATGCCATAGAGTCCACTCTCTGAATCTGCCATTTCTTCCAGGACAACTGATCTCTGTAGTCTAGAAATCAGCTTTGATTCTGGGGAAATACCTGGCAACCCTTAAAGAGAGAGAGAAAGAGAGAGAGAAAGACAGAGAGAAAGACAGAGAGAGACAGAGAGAGACAGAGAAAGACACACAGAGACAGAGAGAAAGACAGAGACAGAGAGAGAGAGAGAGAGACAGAGAGAGACACACACAGAGAGAGAGTGAGAGACACACAGAGAAAGATAGATAGAGACAGAGAGAAAGACAGAGAGAGAGAGACAGAGAGAAAGACAGAGAGAGAGAGACAGAGAAAGACAGAGAGAGAGAGAGACAGAGAGCGAGAGCGAGACAGAGAGCGAGACAGAGAAGTTTTGTAAAGGGTTTGGTCTTTTGAAATTATTCTGACAGTCTGTCTCTAGCCTGAGAACTGCTACTCAAGAAATCTTTTAAAGCTGTTATATGCTCTTGGCTGAATTTTTAATGCTGGGTTTGGTTGTTGTTGTTGTTTTTTTAAATGCTGGCGTTTTGTAAGATTTCGGAACTTTTATGATTTATATGCTTATGCATGCCTTAATTCGTAAGCTGCCTTGAGCAGGTTCTCTGGAGAGGAAGCAATCAAATTTTCTAAGCAAGTAATAAATAAATATAATATCCGTCAATTAGGATGTGGCGTGATGTGGTCCATGGGGTCGCAAAGAGTCAGATTCGACTGTGCGACTGAACAACAACAAAATTAGGAATGAGACGGACATGCACAAGGATTCCAGATCCCCCCCCCCCCCGTATGTCCAGTTAGCCGTGTGGTTAGAAGTGTGGTCTGCAGAGCGGGGTTCTAGTTCCATCCCTTCCTCCCATTTCGCTGCTGGTGGGATTGGCATTTTGCAAAAGATGAGCTTTGTGCCGCCTACAGAGCCAGTTTGGTGTAGTGGTTAAGGGTGTGGACTCTAATCTGGGAGAACCGGGTTTGATTCCCCACTCCTCCACTTGCACCTGGCTGGATGACCTTGGGCAAGCCGTAGCTCTGATAAGAGCTGTTCTTGAAAAAAGAACAGTTTCTGTCAGAGCTCTCTCAGCCCCACCTACCTCACAGGGTGTCTGTTGTGGGGAGGGGAAGGGAAAGGCATTTGTAAGCTGCTCTGAGACTCCTTTGGGTAGTGAAGGATGGGGTATCAATCCAATCTCCTCCTCCTCCTCCAGGCCCTGGAATAAAGACTCCCGGGGGCTCCCTCTCGCGGGTGAGCTATGGAGGATGCTGGGCTGACATGTCTGAGGTCACCTGTGTTTCCTTCCCTATATGCTGACCTGTCAAAGAGGAATCTATTTCCAGAAGGGGATGCGACCTCATTTCTGCAGACATCTCATGAATGTGTTAGGTGCACGTCTCCACTGCTCTCTACGCATTGGAGGGTTCCATATTGCCTTTTGTTTCTTCCCTGACCTGTTCTCTGGATAAGGCGGGGCATGATGATGTCACTTAGATACACTAGCTTTGCTGTGCACTGATGGCCTACTACTGTAGATGGCCAAGCACGGGAGTGTCATGGCTGTGCTGCTCTGTCATTCGTGGGCATGGGCTGTGTTGAGAGGGGCTCCAACTAGGACAGCCAGTCTTCAGTTGGTGGCTGGAGATCTCCTGGAATTACTACTGGTCTCCAGGTGACAAAAATCAGTTCTCCTGGAGAAAATGGTTGCTTGACAAGGTGAATGTTATGGCATGATATCCCATTGAGGTCCCTCCCCTCCCAAAACCCCGCCCTCCCTAGGCTCCACCCCTAAACTCTCCAGGTATTTCCCAACCCAGAGCAGGCAACCCAAGCTCAAGAGTGATGCTGGAGAGCACAAAGACGATCAATGCTGGCTATGCCACCCATATGCTTGTGCCACAAGCCTTCAGGACTGGGTTTGCCCAGTCACTGGGGTTTATGATCGGGGCATTAAGTCTGACATATTGGGGTGGGAACAACCTTCCTCAAAGGAGCCTTCACCTGACTTGTGGTTCTTCCATTGGAGGAAGAACTCCTTAGGTTGGAGGGAGGATTTAATCTTTGCTCAGTGGAGTTGCAGGATAGGGATAAGATCCACACCATAACAAAAGTTAGATTTGTTATGTCTGAAGCAGCAGAACAAAGTTACATAAGAACATAAGAGACGCCAATGTTGGATCAGGCCAAAGGCCCATCCAGTCCAATACTCTGTCACATAGTGGCCAAAAATACCAGTGCCATCAGGAGGTCCACCAGTGGGGCCAGGACATTAGAAGCCCTTCCACTGTTGACCCCCCCCCCCCCAAGCACCAAGAAGACAGAGCATCACTTGCCCCAGAGCCCCTATCTATACCTTGTGGCTAATAGCCACTGATGGACCTCTGCTCCATATGCTTATCTAATTCCCTTTTGAAGCCGTCCATGCTTGTAGCCGCCACCACCACTTCCTGTGGCAGTGAATTCCATGTGTGAATTACTCTTTGGGTGAAGAAGTACTTCCTTTTATCCATTCTAACCTGACCGCTCAGCAATTTCAGTTTGAGTCCAGTGGCACCTTTAGGGTCAACAAAGTTTTATTTGTGTACACACACACTTCTTCAGATATAAAACCTTGCTGGTATTAAAGGTGCCCCTGGAGTCAAACCTTGTAACTACAGTTAGTCTTGCTGAAATTAAACGTATGTGAAGACTTAAAAATAATAATAATAATTCACCGGGACATCCCTTGTAAAACCCAGTGCTGTTTGTGAATTGATTTCTCATCCACAGGCCAGGAATCTTCTGGAACATCAGCACAAAGTCTCCCAAATGGCCAGGAGCTTTCAGGCATCAAAAATTCAGACAGAATCTACTTCCAGGTTATTTATGGATGACGTACAGAGAAAGGAGAACTAAGAACATAAGAAGAGCCCTGCTGGATCAGACCAGTGGTCGATCTAGTCCAGCATCCTGTCTCACACAGTGGCCAACCAGTTCCTCTAGACAGCCAACAACAGGGCACAAAGGCTGAGGCCTTCATAACATAAGAAGAACCCTGCTGGATCAGACTAATAGTCCATCTAGTCCAGCATCCTGTCTCACACAGTGGCCAACCAGTTCCTCTGGAGGGCCAACAACAGGGCACAGAGGCCAAGGCCTTCCTCTGATGTTGCCTCATGGCTCTGGGATTCAGAACCTCTGAATGTGGAGGTTCCTCTCAGTCGCCATGGCTAGTAGCCATTGATAGGATTAGATAGATTCATGGAGGATAAGTCTATTTGAAAGCTGTTTATTCCTGCGGCCATCACTCCATCCTCTGGGAGCGAATTTCACATTCACTAGCTGGTCGGTGTTTGTCCCGTTGTTGATTTGGCGAGGGCGTGGTTCCTCTTGGGGGTTACAGACAGCCCTACGGTTAAAAAAACAAAAGGGGGGTGGGGGAGACTTGGGGATCTGAGTGGTTCACAATACCTCCAAAGCATGTTGAATGTTGTCTTTGTGTCTCCCGGAATGAGAGATGCTACTGCTGGTGCTAATGCTGGACGTGCTGGTCTCACAGATCTGCTCCCCCAAAAGACTGTCTTCTGGCAACAGAGTCTCCGCCCACAGCCGGCAAATGCCGTCGAGGCACGAAGTAAGCAGCACGTTGCAAACCGAGCCCCTGAAGACACAAAACAGGATCACCCTCTTGTATCTCGAATGCTTCACAGAACGGGCAGAGCTAAATGCTTCGGCAATTAGACTGATGTGGTCGCTAGTAACAATAAGTGGGAGTCTTGCAAGTTGCGACACCTTAAAAACTGAACACAACTAATCTGACTAGCAGATTAAGACTGCCCCCCCTGGGTTGAATAGGGATCCAATCCCCCCCACCTGCCAGGCTGCCCCCTGCTGGTCAGCCCACCCACTTGCAGAAGCATTGGCTCCACCCTCTTGGCTCACATGGTGGTGGTGGCTCCTCCCTCTTTCCCCTTCCTGCAGTGCCACCTCCTCCATATGAGTGGCTCACAGAGTGGTATGGAGGCGCCCACTTTTCCTGCCCTTCCTCCTGCTGGGCAGGAGTGGCTCCCGCTCTTCCTCAACACAGTGCCAGGACTACCTGTCTGGCTTGGGCAGCAGCTCCCCTTCCCTTCTGTTTTTTCAAAATGGCGGCCAATATTTCATGGTGTAGCATCATAAAATCTTGGGCTTTCCACCTGCAATTTTTCTTCTTTTGGGAACGTTTGTGAAACCCCTGATTCAGGCTTGTACGAATATCCCCTACTCTGCACCCGACCCCCAATGTGCAGATTTACCAATCCATGTACCAAGGTCTTGGTTCAGAATTAGAAGTAGGGTTTTACATGGCTCCATTTCATAAATAAAACGGTGGTTACTTACCTGTAACCGTTGTTCATTGAAAGTGGCTTCTGTGCGGGCACACATGGGGACTGCAGTATGCAGGCCGACCACCGGGAGGAGCTAGCGAGCTTATTTGTAGAATTTTTATACCCGAGAGGGCTAGGCTCCAACCAGGAGGCGGTTTCCCGCCCAAAATACCACCTGACCTGGGCGGAGCCTGCCCTCTCCCCTCAGTTCTCCTTCTGCCGCTTTATTAGAGCGGAAGACTCCCACAGCGGGGAAGGAGGGAGGGATGTGTGCCCGCACAGAAGCCACTTTCAATGAACAACGGTTACAGGTAAGCAACCACCGTTTTCATTTTCAAGGCTTCTGTGCGGTCCCACATGGGAGATTAGCAAGTTTACTCACTTGGAAGGAGGGAGTGGGAGACTTCAGCGGAATATCGACTGCAGCACAGCCGTGCCCATCGCTGCATCCCTCCTCGCATCAACGTCCATCGCATAGTGTTTGACGAACGTCGAAGGCGTTGACCACGTGGCCGCTCTGCACACCTCCAGCAGGGGCAACCCTGCCTGAAACGCCACAGATGTTGCTTGAGAGCGTGTCGAGTGTGCAGACAACACCAGGGGGCATTGCTTACCAGCCCCTTCATATGCCAATTGTATAGCTTTACAAATCCAACGGGAAATAGTCTGCGACGACGCAGCCTTACCCTTCTTTGACCCACCAAAGCATACAAATAAAGAGGACACAGTACGGAATGGCTGAGTCCTCTGCAAATAAAAGAGCAAAGCGCGCCTGACATCCAGTGAATGTAAGGAACGCTCCGCTTCTGAAGAGTGGTTCGGAAAGAACACAGGTAATATGATGTCTTGTGACATATGAAACTTGGATACTACTTTGGGTAGAAAATCCAAACGTGGACGGAGAACCACTCTATCCTTATGGAACCTGAGAAAGGGTGACTCTGTGGACAGAGCCGCTAATTCCCCAACTCGTCTTGCGGACGTGATTGCGACCAAAAACGCTACTTTGTAGGATAAAAATGATAAGTCACACGTAGCCAGTGGTTCAAAGGGTTTATATATCAAACGAGATAAAACCAGAGAGAGACTCCATGAGGGTAGAGGCAACTGGGAAGGGGGATACAAATTATTGAGACCCCGGAGAAATCTCTTTGCATCTTTAGAAGCAAAAAGGGACACCCCCTTCACAGGTACATGATTAGCCGAAATTGCAGCTAAGTACACCTTAAGAGAGGAATTGGACAAACCTTCCTGTTTGAGGTGGGACAAAAACTCTAGTACCAAAGGCAACCCACAGTTAGTAGGATCGACGTGTTTGCGTGATACCCATGTAGAAAACAGTCTGAATTTAGCCTCGTAAGATCTCCGCGTGGACAACTTACGTGCAGCTAATAGTATGTGTTGCACTGCCGGGCAGTAGGCCGATCGGGCCGAATTCGCCAGGCAGTTAGTTTGAGGGACGAGATCCCCGGTTCGGACGGAAGAAGACCTGACACTAGGTCCGTCTCCTCCGGGAACACTTGGAATTGTCCTTGTGCCAGTGACAATAGGTTCGGGAACCACGCTTGGCGGGGCCAAAAAGGAGCCACCAATATCAGGTCCGCATCTTCTGCATGAGCTCTGGCTACCACTCTGTTTAGGAGTGGTAGAGGTGGGAATGCGTAACAGAACAGACCTGCCCAAGGAATGTCGAAAGCGTCCCCTAGGGAATGGTGCGCATAGGCCGCCCTGGAGCAGAACATTGCGCATTTTGCATTGGCTGGAGTGGCGAAAAGATCCCAGACGGCGGAGGGCTTGGATTAGTATAGCAATACGCTTAGCCCTAGGCATAGGGTCATGCCGAGACAGAATCAAGGACTGGCCCCACAAACTCAATCTTTTGCGTGGGGGAAAGATTGGATTTGGGGACATTGACTCTCAGTCCCAAGGACTGTAAGGTGCGTAATACCACGTGGACAAGGGAACAGAGTCTGTCAGGTGTATTTGCGACTAATAACCAATCGTCCAAATAGTGAACAAAGGGTACATCCCTGCAATCTGAAGTGTGCCACGACTACAGACATACATTTTGTGAACACCCTGGGGGCGGATGCCAACCGAAGGGAAGCACTCTATATGGAGGGCACGTCCGAAATGATGGAAGCAGAGCAACCTCTGGCAGGAGGTCCGTAGCGCTATATGAAAGTACGCATCAGTAAGGTCAATGCTTATAAGAAAGCAATTTGGTTGCAGTAATAAAACGACCTCCTGTATGGATAACATACGGAACTTAGGTTTCCACAGAAAGTTATTAATATTCTGACAACATCTGTGCTACGTCGTTCCGACACATACAGACACATGATAGGGGCGGATAGTGTAACAACTCCAACAGATAACCGTTTTCTTATTATAGATAATACCCATTTGTCATAAAACAAGGATAAACTAATCCCAAACTGTAGGACTGATTCTAGTCACAGGAGATCTGTCCCCTTATAGGGTTGGTCTCATTGAGATCTATCCCCTGACGGGAGTGTTGATCTCTGACGTCTATTCTGATACAACGTCTGATACGTTTGTCTAGGAGGCAGGTATGGTTGCCTCTGAAACGACTCATGGTAACGGTATGGGCGGGAATATTGTGAATGCTGGGCAGGTCTAGGCCGATACCTAGACTTTTGCGGAGCATTACTGGAAGCCGTGACGCCAAAAGATTTGGCCTGTAACTTGTACTTCCTAATGCGTTCCAAGACCTCATCGGTCTCCTGACTAAACAACTCGTTCCCTTCAAACGGAAGGTCTTCGAGTTTAGCTCGTGTATCAAGGGGTAGCACAGAAGATCTAAGCCATGCATGTCTACGTAAGACTATGGCGGAGCCCACCGCTCTACTACTGCAATCAGCATTATGCCGTGCGGTATTCACTTATAACTTCCCTAGACGCTTCCCCTCCTCAGCTATGACCTTCGCCAGACACCTTTGGTCTTGTGGAAGTAGATCCAGATAAGTAGACAACTTATCCCATAACAGGCGGTTGTAGAGCCCCATGACTCCAGAGGAATAGGCCTTTCTGCCTATCGCATCTAGCTTGCGGTCTTCCCTATCATTGGGAGCAGTACAGGTTCCAAACCGCGTACGAGCCTGTATGATTTCAGCAATGAAAGAATTAGGTGGCGGATGCCGAACCAGACATTGCACATCAGAGTCAATAACTTTATAACGTCCTTCCAGCCTCTTGCTGGAGGTGTCGAGGTTGGATGCTTCCATGCCAACATCATCACCTCCTGCAACCCCTGGAGACACGGTAGCGCCATTGGCCCGGTATCCGGGGTGAAAGGGCATGCATAAGCGGGTCTTGAGTCCGCTGTTGAGAAGCCGTATGTTTTAAGTCCAAGGCTTTGGCCATCCGGACTATCTGGTCTGCAAAGGAGGAGAAGTCCCCAGATGGAGATACTGCTTTGGGATCAGCAATCACTTCCTCAGGCGAGGGAAGCGACCTCAAGTCAGACCCGGGTTCTGACTGCGACTCACTGGCCAAGTCAGCTTCCTTGGTTCCGTATGAGATGTAATCAACCTGTTCCACCCGGTCTGGTATGGGTGACAGTGACCGTTGCCTCTGAGCGTAGTGACAGGGATGCCCCGCTGTAGGCATCTGTAAGTGCAGAGACGGGGCAGGACTTCTCGAACCCATTTGTAATAGGTTTGGAGAAGGTGATCTGCAGATCTCCAACATTGGAGAAATTTCGGTACCGATGATCGGTACCGATGGAGGTTGGTTCCATTGTTTCGGTACCGAAGGTCAGTACCGATGGAGGTTGGTTCCATTGTTTCGGTACCGATGGTTGGTACCGATGGAGGTTGGTTCCATTGTTTCGGTACCGATGGTTGGTACCGATGGAGGTTGGTTCCATTGTTTCGGTACCGATAGTCGGTACCGATGGAGGTTGGTTCCATTGTTTCGGTACCGATAGTCGGTACCGATGGAGGTTGGTTCCATTGTTTCGGTACCGAAGGTCAGTACCGATGGAGGTTGGTTCCATTGTTTCGGTACCGAAGGTCAGTACCGATGGAGGTTGGTTCCATTGTTTCGGTACCGAAGGTCAGTACCGATGGAGGTTGGTTCCATTGTTTCGGTACCGAAGGTCAGTACCGATGGAGGTTGGTTCCATTGTTTCGGTACCAAGTGATCTTCTTGGTGCCGAGGCGAACGTCCCTTCGACGTCAAATGTGGTGTTGATGCCGAGGCAAACGGGATGTTCGGCGCCGAGCGGTGCGACAGGCGCAATCCCTTCGGTACCAGCCATTTGGGGAGGCAAAGACCTCTCTTGCTGGGTTTTCTTTTTCTGGGCCTTTGTGGCCGGCGGCTCTGGGCCAGCGCGAGACTGGGCGGCCGCTGGGGAGACTTGTGTTGCTACTGGCGCCGAGCATACTGATGGCGATTTAGGCTTCTCCCTTTCTCCATTGGACGTCGCAGGAAAGGCCCTCTCCCACAGAGCTGCCTTCAGCTGGGTTTTCTGTTTCTTGGCCTTTTTGGCCGGCAGCTCTGGGCCAGCGCAAGACTGGGCGGCTGCTGGGGAGACTTGTGTTGCTACTGGCGCCGAGCATACTGATGGCGATTTAGGCTTCTCCCTTTCTCCATTGGACGTCGCAGGAAAGGCCCTCTCCCACAGAGCTGCCTTCAGCCGGGCTTTTCTCCCCTCACAAGCCCTTGGAGTAAAGGCTTTACAGGCCTTACAGCCGGTCATGTTGTGGGACCCCCCCAGACAGAGCACACAAGCCGAGTGCTCATCATTTTGGGCCATTTTAGCCCCACAGCTCTTACATTTCTTGAAGAGGGCCACCTTCTCTTTATTCTTTTTCCTTTGTTGCCATCTTCTGAGGAAAAAACTCTTTCCCTCAGGATTGATTTGTTCAGCTCGCTGTAACTAGTCCTCTTTCGATGGCGGCAGAAAGAGAACTGAGGGGAGAGGGCAGGCTCCGCCCAGGTCAGGTGGTATTTTGGGCGGGAAACCGCCTCCTGGTTGGAGCCTAGCCCTCTCGGGTATAAAAATTCTACAAATAAGCTCGCTAGCTCCTCCCGGTGGTCGGCCTGCATACTGCAGTCCCCATGTGGGACCGCACAGAAGCCTTGAAAATGAACATAAAGTTTTCCATGAATATACTCACAAATTTACGGTATGTATAGTTCAAAATCAGCCATCTATATAATAAAGGTAAAAGTTTCCCTTGCTCGAAAGCTAGTCGAATCCAACTCTAGGGGGCGGTGCTCACCGTTTCCAAGCTGAAGAGCCAGAGCTGTCTGAAGACATTTCTGTGGTCATGTGGCCGGCATGACTAAATGCCGAGGCGCACGGAACACTGTTACCTTCCCACCGAAGTGGTACTTATTTATCTACTTGCAATTTCTTGCTTTCGAACTGCTAGGTTGGCAGGAGCTGGGGCCAGAGACGGGAGCTCACTCCGTCACGCGGCACTCGGGTCTCGAACTGCCAAACTACAGACCTTCTGGTTTGCAGTTCAGCGTCTTAACCTCTGAGCCATCGCAGCCCCATCTATATAATATATATCTGTTATTCAGATATAAGGGGTGGACTTTTGGGGGGCCAACATTTCTTGTAGGATCCATCTAACCTGGGCATAAACTTGCTGGTGTTTCGCCATGAAAATCCAGTCACTGCTCGGGGATGTGCCAAGTACACAAAGGCAAAGTGAACCAGTGCAGAGATCTTCTTTTGCTCTTCCCCCTCTTGGGGCAGGAGAGATGACTTCCAGCCAGCCATCGGGTACCAGACTTTTAAAAGACAATCGTCCTAGACAAACCGACAGACAACAAAGTGGCAGAAGGCACACATAAAGCGAAAGGCAAACACAGCTTGATGCCATTGGAACAATTTTCATTAGCATTGGAACACTCTGCTGAAACCATCGCAGGCAGAAGAATTTTAACATGATTAATGAGATCACTGTTAATAGACGGAACAGGCTCCTAAGCTCGCTTTCAGAGACCGATCTTTGGTTAATATTTCAATTCACAAATCCGGGTAATTAAAATTCATCTTATGTGACAAACACATTAAGTGAAACATTAAACAGTTAAATATCTGCACTGGCATGGCTGCCATTATAGATTACATGGCTTAACTCAACACAACACAGCAGACGGCCGTAAAGCACCAGTAACGCTTGAAATTTAGCTGGGAGCAGTGTTCCCGCTAAGCTGAGTTAGTGTGAGCTAGCTCACAGTTTTTTAGCTTCCAGCTCACACATTTTTTTTGTCTTAGCTCAGGAAGGATGGCTCCAGAACAAACGAATCTATGCAGCAGCCAAATCGCTCGCTCACAACTTTAATGCCGGTAGCTCACAAAGTAGAATTTTTGCTCACAAGACTCCACAGCTTAGAGAGAGCATTGGCTGGGAGGTGAAAAGAACTAAGAACTAAGTATCTGTCCACCACGGAGGTGGCATGGACAACTCATTTCCTCTTTTAGCCTTTAAAAGGCTGCTGGTTTTTTAAGGCAGATAAACACAGAAAACACCGTGTTGAAATAATAAACACAATATTCACATGTTCTTATAGCCTCTAGTGTATTGTAAACACTTGCAAACTACAACATCACATTTCAAACACTTTCAAACTAAGTTATATAACATGAAGAGTCCAACTGTCTTCTTCCTGATGGAGGATAAATACCAATGTACAGTTATTTGTCCCTGTGTGCTTGTGGTTCTTTAAGGCAAGCAGGCAGGCCGGCAGGAAGAGGTATGCACATGGTATCCATAGTACCACATCAAGGCCATATGGGCTAGGTGAAGTCCTTTGTTCCTCCCTACTAGTAACAGAATATGGAAGACACCATGGTGGAGAAGGGAGGAAGTAGTGCTTGGTAAAGGGAAAGGAGCCGAGATACAGCCAGATTGACTGAAGTGAAGTGCTCTCTAAAACTGTTATTTGCAACAGTTATACCATTCCATGGATTCTTCAATATAGGCTGAATAAAAGCTTTCACAAACGGAACCAAAATGGGGAACAGCGTAGCTCCAGAAGAAGGAGGAGGAGGAGGAGGAGGAGGAGATTATTGGATTTATACCCTGCCCTTCACTCGGAGTTTCAGAGCAGCTTACAAACTCCTTTCCCTTCCCCTCCCCACAACAGACACCCTGTGAGGTAGGTGGGGCTGAGAGAGCTCTTTCCGCAACTGTCCTTGAGAGAACAGCTCTGACAGAACTATGGCTTGTCCAAGGTCATCCAGCAGCTGCAAGTGGAGGAGTGGGGAACCAACTGGTTCTCTGCACACTTTACTACTATGCCAAACTGGCTCTCAACATATGGCGCACAACTAGTCAAAAGTGACCAATGGACTGGAAGCAACTGAATTGCTGGCTATGTCCAGAAAGATGATGTGAAGTCTAGCGAAAGAAAAGGTACAGGAAATTGTGAACCAAATCCCCCGGGATAATAAGTCAAGAATTTAAATCCACAAATGGGCTCCATGGAGTTGACACTAGCCATCAACCAACCAACACAGCTAGAGTCAACATCCTTGAAAAGATGGGAACGGAGAAGTTGTATGCAGTGATGTTTTCTAGATACACCATGCCATTTGATGTGCTGCTTTCGATAGTCCCAAACAAATCCCTCTCTAACTGAAAACCATGGAAGCAGATGTTAATCTAGTACTACTATTCTCTGGGCTCATCCCCACATTCTGCATCCTAACTCTGTCCTAAACCTGAAAACTGTCTCTCACTGGTGGTAGCCAAGCTGGCAGGGACCGACAGTAGAGTTGCCAGGCCTGTGGAAGGCAATCCTCGAAACATCTGGGGCTGGAGCATGGGAAAGGGCTGCAACATGCAATGTGGGGATATCAATTCCACGGGAGGACCTGAGGAAGTGATGTCACCATGTTGCACGACAGTCTATGAATCCCCCCCTCCCAAATCTCTATGACAAAGATCTTAGAGACTGGGGAGTTGCCGCCATGTGATGCTGCCATGTTCATAACATCATCCTCCCACCCAACAGCAGGTAGAGATGCTGCAGGCAGGAGGCTGCCTGCTGTGGCAGTAACCTGGCAAGCCTGTGGACACCAGCATCTCCACTGGTGGAACTAACCGCCCTTTTTGGTTTCTTTCTTCCACGGACTCTAACCTGGGAGAACCGGGTTTGATTCCCCACTCCTCCACTTGCACCTGGCTGGATGACCTTGGGCAAGCCATAACTCTGGCACAGCTGTTCTTGAAAAAGAGCAGTTTCTGTCAAGAGTTCTCTGAGCCCCACCTACCTCACAGGGTGTCTGTTGTGGGGAGGGGAAGGGAAAGGAGTTTGTGAGCCGCTCTGAGACTCCCTTGGGTAGTGAAGGGCGGGGTATAAATCCAATCTCTTCTCTTCTTCTTCTTCTTTTTGAGCACCAATACGGCTGTGCCACCAGCTTAAGCAGTCACTCTATGCCTGGGGGCTAGATGTACCGAGGATCTGGTTCATAAGAAGTCTCTTCCTTATATATTTGGAAAGTTGCCCTTAACAGACACTCGCTATATAGCATGCGGTGCATTCAGCTGGGTGACCTTGGGTCAGTCACAGTTCTCTCAGAGGGTGCCTGTTGTGGGGAGAGGAAGGGGAGGCGACTGTAAGCCACTCAGACTCCTTCAGGCAGTGCAAAGCAGTGTATAAAACCCACCCATTCTTCTTTTGATATTCCCTTCCTATTCAGCTAATTTCTTATAGTGTTCTTCTAGGAATTTATAACATAAAAATGGCAAGCGGTCACAGACCCTGTTTTTGGACTCTCCTATCAGACTGCCAGAGAAGGGAAAGAGAGATTGACAAGCTTCATTCCGCTCCTGGTTCATTCCATTCCGCTGGGTTTTCCATTCATCTGATTTTCATCAGGGAAGATATGATTTTGCTACAGTGTATCAGGCGGCCTGCTTTTGTTAATCTCTTATTAATACTGCGCGGGCAATACAACGCTCCTGATCTTAGCCAAAAGCAATTACACTACCTATATTGAAAAACTCGGCTGGGGGATCAAAGTGGGATAATAAAATCATTTGACAAGGTTACAGAGTTTGCAAAAAAAAAAAAAAACTAGCTAAAGATAGCAGATCCTGAAGGAGAATTTTTTTTTTTTTTAAAGGTAATTTCTTCCCAGGAATACTGAAAGTGGCATGAACAAGAAAATATAACTTTCAGCCCATCTCAGAAGTGGGATCAGCCGGCTTAATCTTTACAGTGCTCAATGCAGTAACTAAAATGGAAACCCTCAAGACAAAGCAAAAAAATGGCTTCTGGGACCATCTGTCTCCGCTCTTGTGCGGCAGAACTCCGGCGCTATGCATGACCATGCAGGCAGATGGGGATCAATGCAGAAACAGCCTCTGAAAACCCAGCTTAAGGTCAGCTACTACTAAGAAGAGCCTTTGGTTCAATGGAATATTACTGAACAAAACACTACGTGGGCGTCTGGCACTCCTGGGCACTGGCATTGAGACTCCTGAAAATGGTCTCAATGGGGACAGCTGAGTACAGAGCACACATACAGGTCAATCCAGCGCAGAATCACTCCAGGATCTGATCCACGGACATCAATGGGCTTGCACTGGAGTAACTCTGCATGTGATTGAGCACTCACAGTGCATTCCTAAGCGGAGTTGCAGCCATCTAAATCCACTGACTTCAGTGGACTTCCAAGACAGCTGCTCCGCTTAGGACTGTAGACACAATATTTTTGCAGAATCACGACTCCATGCAAAACACTGAACGGAACGTCACTCTGGGACTCCTCAGCTGTGAGTTTAAGGGGGTCCAGCCACAGGCTAAATTTGGACAGCCTGGGGACAGCCAATGCCCCCGTCACGGGCAGCGGCTAGAAAGGTTCTCTGACGGCTGCCACCTCTCTGGGTCTCCTTGGGAGGGCCCAGAGCACCCTACCCCTTTATACACTCCTTGGGAGGGCCCACAGCGCCCTACCCCTTTATACACTCCTCTTTCAGTAGGTTTCCCCTTATATGTGACCGAATGAGGCATGAGGACCCAGGCAGAGTCACAAACTATTTTTATTAAAGAGATTTAACAATTATAATCCAGTAATGTACAGGAAAAATGAGCACAGTAAAGGTAGGTAAAGGTAAAGGTAAAGGTTCCCTTGCTCGAAAGCCAGTCGAATCCGACTCTAGGGTTGCAGTGCTCATCTCCGTTTCAAAGCCGAAGAGCCAGCGCTGTCCAAAGACGTTTCCGTGGTCATGTGGCCGGCATGACTAAACACCAAGGACCACGGAACGCTGTTACCTTCCCACCGAAGTGGTACCTATTTATCTACTTGCAATTTCTTGCTTTCGAACTGCTAGGTTGGCAGGAGCTGGAACTAGAGACGGGAGCTCACCCCGTCTTGCGGCACCCGGGTCTTGAACTGCTGAACTACTGACCATCCACAGCCTGCAGTTCAGCGTCTTAACCACTTGAGCCAGCAAAATAGGAAATCCTAACGCATTGGACAATACTCTCCTGGCCTTCTCTGGCTATTTGCCTCAAACTGACTCACCCCTTTTGGGTGAGGGATCCCTCCTTCTGCAGCAGCCTCACCAGCTCTGCTCCCTGGAAGTGAACCCCCTCCCACTTTGGGCAAGGCCTTTTAATCCTTCTTCCCAGGAACCACCCTCTACTCCTTTACTGGTATAGGTTTTTCCTTCAAATCCCCTGTTAACCAATCACAGGGTCCAGAGGGTACCTGGAAAATGTAGGCACTGTAGTCACTCTAATACAGGCTTCCCTGGAGCCACTAGGCCTCCCTAGAGCCTGTAGGCCGCACTACTATTGGCCCAAGATCATGACAGCTCCCCATCTCCTTGTCACCATGTCATAGCAGGTGTGAGTCAGCACCGCAATCCAACAATATAATAGCCTTGTAAAACACAAATGTTTGCTGCCCCCATCTCCGCAGAAGGACAGGATGAAATACACATGAACTCTAATGGACACCAACAGTTACAACATGGTGTACATCAGGTACCATGCCCCTACCTGAGACCACGGTACACGTTTGCCCAGTCACGGTAGACAAGACGGGGATAATATTCTGATGTGGTATAAGGCAGCTTTGTACAACAAACTGTTCCAAATTTGCTGAGCAGAGATAATGGTGAAGATGCTTCAAAAACATCCCTTTGCTTGCCCTTACCTTACCGGCTGTTGCAAAATATTCACCGTCTGGTGACCACTCCATCAGATGCACAGACACCGCTGTCCTAAAGCACAAAGGACGCATGAGATCTCAGCTTAAGCAAAATTTGAGTCCAGTGGGACCTGGACTTAGGATATAAGCTTTAATGAGTCAAAGCATCAAATTTAAGCAGAAATTACTATTTTAAGAGTTCCTTACTAGGGATGTGCATGAACTGAATCACAAAGCAAAATTTGTCATGGAGTTTCCCCTGTTCGTGGTTCACGCACCAAAGTTCGTGATCAGTCTATCATCAGGAATTTCCACAAACTTTTAAAGCAGTTTGTGGTGGTTCGTGCATAGAGCAGAAAGCTGGGGTTTAAAGGGACTCTGATTCCCTTTAAATCCCTGCTTTCTGTTTCTTGCAAAAGCCACAAAAACAGCCGATTGGCTGGGAGTACCTCCCCACTGCTCAGCTGTTTCTCATGCACCCTTTAAAGGGACTGCACAAGAAAGCCCAAAACGGTTGAGGGGAGAGGAGCAGGTTGTTTTTTAGGCTTTCTGCAAACTCCATTTAAAGGGACAGCAGTCTCTTTCAATCCGGTTTGTGGGGCCACAAGCCAAGGGGTTCGAGCGGGGTAGAAGTTGAAGGTAAATAAAATGATCAAGTTCAGTTAGTTAACCAACTTCCCAGTTCTGTTTGGGGTTGAGTTCATGGTTCGGCCACAAACTGAATTTTTTCAGCTCATGCCCATACCTACTCATTACTGCAAATATTAAGTAATATTTATAGCAGAGAGTTAAGACAAAGTAACGTGATAGAGTAAAGTGACAGTCGTAATCAAAATCTCATTACAAATTAGTTTAGCAGCTACATGGCATGATATAATTCATTTTCTAAAACAAAATCTATCATCCATGCAGGATTAGTTTGAACCATTTTGGTGCCCCACAGTTATAAATTTAGAGTTCTGTTGAATAGTGGGGTTTTTCAGAAGGAGAACTCCTTTTAGTTATGAATTTTGTGTGTAACAAACCTGTGGACACCCACTGAAGTTTGATGCTAGGTTTGCTGGTCGTATATTCAGAACAGAGGATGAGTTTTACCAGTTTTTAGAAAGGTGCACGAGTGACTGAAATTTTTTAAAATATAAGAAGTGCCCTCACTTATAATAATAATTTGCTCACAGTAATTATAATTAATAACCAGTTGTAATTATAAATTACAATTAATTAAAACAATAAAACTTAATAATTTATTATAATTAATAATTCGTGCATAATAATTATACATATTCTCATGCTGCAACCCTATGCACACTTCCCTAGGAGTAAGCCCTACTGAACGCAAAGGGAATTACTGTTGAGGAGGTGTAGACATGAATTGCATCTCTCTTTCTAACCCATCTCCCACTAACCGCCTACTTACTTGCATTGCCAGACACATTTCCAGTCATTTAGAACAGGATGAACTTTATCTTCTTTGACATCTTCCTCCTCCTCCTCTTCTTCAAGGGTATCACTAGGCGGAGGGGCCCATAATTGTAAAAAATCTGTTGCTGTCAGCAGCCGGTTACCTGGAAGTAACGGATATTTAACCACAGTAGGAGAGGAAGATAGAAATTCTTATTTTATGCTCATTTTATGTACAGGGGGGAAAGTATATTTGATAGACTTCCCAATGAAAAGGTTTAAAAACTCAGAAAACGAAATTTCTGTCCCGAAAACCCAAACAAAGCAGAAGAGAGCCATGCAAATAGCATGTTCTACTCTAGGGTTGCCAAATCGTAATTACTCACCGGCGGGGGAGCGTTCGCTGGGTCCGGGAGCTGGCTGCGCGTGTGTGCGCGTGTGCGCCGCCAGAACATCACCGGAAGTGACGCAGGACATAGGGCACGTTGGGGGCGTGGCCCAGATCATCGGGGGGGGAAACCATATGGTTTCCCCCCGCGAAGAGCTGGGCCACGTCCCCAATGTGCTGTACGTCTGCGTCACCTCTGGTGATGCAGCTTCAGGGGGCGGAGTTCCCCCCAGGGCCTGATTCCGCCGTGGCGGAAATCAGACCTCCAAAGCGGGGGGAAATCCGCCCCCCGGGGGGATTTGGCAGCCCTATTCTACTCTGATGATACCGGAGAATGAAGGGCCAATCTGGAAGTCACATCATTTAGCCCATGATTAGCTAAGCAATTATCCTAAATAGCGGGGTTCCCCCAACCACTGATCTCCCTCCCAGCTAGTGGGGTTCCCCCTAACTGCTGATCTCCCTCCTGCTCAGAGAATTTTCTCATGCATGGTTGTTAAGGCTACATTCTGACACGCAGATCACACAGTCCTATCACGTCCTGTATTTGTAAGCACATCTCTATTTAACCGATTTTTTTGATCAAAACATCTGTAGCCAGCCCTTCTCACTGTATAAAGGCAACTTAACGGGGCAATGGTAACCAAGTAGCAACAACATTCAAGCCAGAACCTTGAAACCAAAAAGGAGAACAAATATTGTGACTTTGACATCAACACCCACCTCCCCTGCTCCCCGCCCTCCACAGGTATGCTATCCTTCCAGGCCTATCTCCATTTATTAAATAGAGCATCCGCCAATGTGATTTGTTCTTCCAAATGGAAAAAAAACCTTCTTGCCATTGAAGACATTCCTTAAAAGCCCATTTAATGCTGATAGGCAGTCCCAAAATTCTGAAGATCCTTCCAAGTCTAAGAGTGCCATGCTAAGTAGAGTTACACCCTTCTAAGACCACAGGCTCAGAAAGGCACAACTGCAGACAGGATGACCCTCGAGCTCTCTTGCTATGATCTCCCCCGCAACCTCCAAGATATCCAAAATGCCCTTTTGAACTATGAATGGATTTCACAAACTGCACATGCCATGGCCCGTTGCGTACATAAGCCTGGGCTCACAGGAAATGCGCATTTCAAGAATGCTGGCCAGTTACACAGATAATCTTTGCGCTGAGATTGCATGCGATCTAACACTAAGATACACAGGAAAAGAGTAGATGCATCCCCCACCAATATTTTCCACCTGTGCTCTTCCCCCATCCACTGGAATCAAAATACTGTCTCCTGGAGAGGAACCCACCAATAACGTAATACACAGTCACTGAAGACAGTTCTCTGTTACCTTGTGGGTCCCATGCTAAATTGAAGGTCATAGAACTGAGGAAAAACTGCCCCGTTTTCAACCACTGACACTTCAGTTGCTGGAAGAGAACGGTTGGAATTAATTCTTCGGGAAGGAAAAGCATCAAAAGAGGGTGAATTAATTATGGTAATGGATAAGACGGCGGTTTATCAACAGACGAGGCGGGGAGGGGAGAGAGAAATATGCACAGTCACTCTTTATGCAAAGATGGTCCTTGTTTTTAAATTACTGGAACAAAGTTAAACCAGAGAAGGTGACAAAGCCTGCAGTCTTAAAAGACACTTACATTGTTGGATTATTTAAAACCCTGTATTTAAATTTTCCGAAAAGAAAAACAACAACACAAGTATATTATACAAGCATTCAGACAATCAGGGCATTACCACTGTTAAACATTTTGATAATAAAGAACTGGGTACCTTACTGCTGGATTACGGGATAGGAACAGCACAATGTACAGAACTTTAAATAACTGTCTTAATAACAATGTGCACTAAGGAAAAGATAGCCAGTTGAGCAACCTAGAACAAAGTTATAAAGCTATACTGTTCTGGGAATGATACATATAATGGCTAGACTTAAGGAAGAATAGGCTGTTTCATTTACTATGGCTTCACTTATCTATGCTTTGTATTTGTAAGCCAGGGGTCGTTTCGTAGAAAAAGAGCTAGGGGAACTCATTAGCATAACTTATTAGCATATGTCACACCCCTGAAATCACCGGAAGTGTGTCATAAGGCCACACACCCCGCCCCCACCGGTCCCGGCCGCCACCGCCGGCCTTGCAGCTCCACTGCCGAGCCCCATGATGGGCCCGGCGGTGGACCTGCAAGGTCGGCGGGAGTGCAAGGAAGCCCCGCGAAGGCCCTCCCTGGCCCCAGGCAGGTAGGGGTGGGGAGAGGCAGGGAGGAAGCAACTTACCCTCCCTCTTCTCCTGCCTCCTCCTGGCTGAATGAGGACCAGAAGCAGGGCGGCCGGAAGCAGGGGGCGGGGCTTCGTCATGTGCCCCGCCCCCGTACCTCACCCGGGGGGAACTGCGATCCCCCGCGACCCCCCCCGAAATGACCTCTGTTGTAAGCTATGGGTGTTACTGGTTACTGTCAGACTGTTTCAGAGGACAGTTGCGTTGGTCTGCAGTAGAACAATTAGATTTGAGTCCATGTTAGGTTTGAGATCAACAAGAATTTTGGGGTAGAAGCTTTTGAGAGTATCGGACGAAGGGAGCTTTGATTCTCAGAAGCTTAAACTCCCCAAATCCTGTTGGTCTTGAAGGCACTGCTGGACTCGAATCCGGATGTCAAAGAAAAGTAATTTGACGTACGTATCAATGTTATCTTGCAAAGGTTACTAAGAATAATAGAAAGGCTGGATCCTGCCTAGGGAGGTGGCGAGCTCCCCCTCACTGGCAGTCTTCAAGGAGCAGCTGGACAAACACTTGTCAGAGATGCTTTGGCCTGATCCTGCATTGAACAGGGGGTGGGACTGGATGGCCTGTCTGGCCCCTTCCAACTCTGTGATTCTATGTAAGAGCGTTTAACACCAGGGAAGGCTTCTTTAGCTGGAGAAAAGCTAGTGGAACAGATCTGCAGGATCCAATCCTTGGGGGGGGGGGATTATTTCTACACAGAACTATGAAGCAGTGCTTTAGCTCTTCGATTTCTACAAGCTTGTTTGACTACATTAGGCCCTTGTGTTCCCAAACACCAGAATTTTTCAGTGGCAACGCTTAAAGCCAAATAATATAGCCAGGTTAAATACCGCTCAGTAACAAGGCACAGTTACTGCTATGGCATGAGCAGCGGAAAAATGTTCTCGAACTCCCGCTGCTTGGTATGAATAGCTCATTCTCTATATGCCATTAAAGAGGAGGGGAAAATTAGCGTCTGTCCCATTTCTTCATTACAAAGAGCAAAATGAAAGATTCCCATGGAGGGAAACAAAGAAGGAAATGTTTCCTTTTCTCCCTACAGAAACGTCTTCATAGGCACATAAATGGCACCACAAACTATTCCCCAAAGTCCTATGGAGCCATCCCTGTACAAAATAAACCTCTGAAAACGTGTTTTAAAAATGATTCAGGAGGACACATCATATACATCTCCAGACCAATCTGTGTTTTGAAACCCTCAGCCAGGGCTCCTCTGCAAAATGACGGGAAACTGGCATTAGCCAGCAAACAATCTGCAGGGGACAGGAGGAGAGACCTCTGCCGTGCAATATATCCCTCTAAGCTGAGTTAGTGTGAGCTAGCTCAGTATTTTAGCCTCCGGCTCACACATTTTTGTCTTAGCTCAGGAAGGGTGGCTCCAGAGCAAACTAATTTATGCAGTAGCCAAATCGCTCACTCGCCACTTTAATGCCAGGAGCTTCCAAAGTAGAATTTTTGCTCAGAAGACTCCACAGCTTAGAGGGAGCATTGCTACCAAGTAGGGCTATTTTTGGGCAGGAACGCACAGGAACGGAGTTCCGGCTGGCTTCAGAGCTGGCCACACCCACTACAGCCAAAACCTCTGTGTGGGTGGCTACAGAGGGAAGGCCTGGAGAGTGACACACACACACCCCCGGCGACTCCGAGGCGGGCGGGCTGGGGGGCCCCTGGAAGGATTGGGAAGGCATTTAAATGCCTCCCTGTGCCTTCCCTGGCCGGCTTGCCGCAGGACGCTCGGGCAAACCAAGGGAAGGCATGGGTGTGGCCTAATATGGTAATGAGATGTGCTGTCAGGGGTGTGACCTAATATGCTAATGAGTTCCTGCTGGGCTTTTTCTACAAAAAAAGCCCTGCTACCAAGTGTATTTTGAACTCCAGTCCCACCCCCCACTCTGCTTTTCCTCTGCCGATTGTCCTCTCACCACACCACCTTGCAGCAGAGAAGCAGCACCAAGGGTTTCCAAATGCAAGGAGAAATCAGGGGGTGTCAACCCTCCCAGACTGGCTGGGAGTCGATGCGAATTGGAACGAAACTCCCTGTGACTATTAAGAGCAATCTAGGAGATTTTGAACAGGAATCTCAGAAAGGTGGGCCCCCTCTGCACCTTAGCTACTACCCCTCCCAGCCTCTCTCACTGACCACCCACCGCTGGCCACTCTGGATCTGGGGCACTTGGCGCTTCTTCCCACTTCACTTCCAGTAAGGGAGCACACTTCAGAAATGGTCTCATTAATTTCATTTTGGGATTTCAGGAGGGGCATGCTTTTTGTTGTCCCAAATTTCGGGGAGTGCTGTTACTTGCTCTGTATTTCATTGGGGGTACATTTTTTGGATTCTGGGATTTTGAGATCATTTCCTCCCCCATACGTGCCCCCCACCAGGCAGCAGGGCCGGGAACAGAGAAAGATGAAGCATGCCCTGGCAAACAGCCTTTTGGTGGCACGTGTACCCTTCAAATTTTAAAGGGCCATTATTTTCTAGGGGGGAAAGCCAGGTCTTCCCATAGAAAACAGTGGCTGTTTTAAGCTGTCTGCCAGGGGAACTTCCTCTCACTCATCCTGTGAACCCTGAAACACGCCTGAAATTCCAAGGCATAACTTTCCAGAACTTTCAGGAGCACTTTAGTCATTTCCGATATCCCCGAGCTGACCTGAAATAGCTCATTTCAGGTTTAATTTCAACTCCAGTATATCTAACGGCACAGTCCTAATCCCCAGGGAAGCCCAATAGGGCACATAAAACATGCTGTGCTGTCTTGAACCACTCCCAGGAACAAGGTGGCAGGATCTAGGGTTGCCGTTCCACAGTTGGGGGTGGGGGATCTCCTGGTTTGGAACCCCTTCCCCCACTTCAGTGCTATCAGAAAGCTGGGGGGGGGGATGGCCGCAGGGTCCTCCTCTCTGCCGGGGAATTACCCCCCAAAACGTGCCTACCTCACCCAGAAGTGACATAGGCATGCTGGTGACGTCGGGGGATGACACTCTGGTTTCTGGACAAAACTCTATGATAGAAATAGCTTCAAACCATAGAGTTTTGCCCCCAAACCAGAGTCCTCCCCCCCCATGTAACCAATGTGCCTACGTCACTTCCGGGTGACACAGACACGTTGCACCTGACATCCCTGACATGCGTATGTCACCCAGAGGGGACAAAGGAATGTTGTGCTTCTTCTCTCCCCTCTCTCAGAGCCTCCTGGTAAGTCCCCCACCAGCCTGTCAGCCAGACCTGGCAACCCTACCCAGGATCACTGGATACTCGGGCACTTGGGCATGGGGTGGTAGGAAAGGAGGGAGGTAAGGGATGGCATGGCACAATGGCAGGGGGGGGGGGAGTCCCAAAACAGCTTTGCTCAGAGTTGGCGACCTTACAGAGTGTCCCAGTTGGCCGCGGAGCACGAGGCTCTGGCTTGAGCAACGCCTTTTTTCCAGAACGACCAACCGGGAATCCTGTTACCTGCTCAAAGCCACAACCAACCAACTGAATGTTTTATAACGTGTAATAAATACTTACACAATTTCTCTTGTGGGAATTTATACCCAGGGGCTCAAAGATGCACACGGCATTTCCGTAAGAGGCTGCAATCTAGAACAGATTGAATGAACCAAATGTTAAAGCCGTCCTCAAAATGCGAGTGAATCATTTGCTATTTATAGGCACAGAAACACATTTCCTATACAGTGTTGTACACAGGGATGGATTGTGACAGAAAGCAAAAATGTAGAAGCGTGTTACTTGACTGTTGTACCAGAGGGTAGATTTAAAAGGAACCTGTTGTGTTGCACGCTCTCTCTCATGCAATGGGACAGTTGGGAAACCCAAAAAAAAAAAAGCAATCTATGTCCTACATCCTGTAACCTTCCAGAGCAAATCCTGCGAGCATATAACAAAGAAGGGGAGCTAGACTAATGAACCGGCTAACTATCCAGACCTCCACAGGGGGGATCCAAAAACACGCATGAAATGGTTAGGGCGTACGGCTCCCGCTTGCAAGGCAATGCAACACATGCACATAAAGGACTGGCTACTGTAAAGCAGGAAGCCCTCCCTGAAATAAAAGCTGGCAAATGGGGACTCCCTTGCTGGAGGTCTATCCAAG